GACCACCGGGCCTTCTATTCCGCCTATCGCAACTCAAGCACTTGCCTGCAATTATGATCTTAATCGCCGCCAATAGCAGTGGAAGCCGAGTCCATACTGTACCCCCCCCCCTCTCCTATCCACCGCGGAGAGCGCCGGTGGCGTTTTTCACACTACTTCATGCTTTTTGTGTTTCTTTCTTTTCTTTCCTTTTTCTTTGCTGCCGATGTACTCCACAGGGCTAGACCAAGCGTGCCTACCTTAGTACCTAACCTCTTAGTTGAAGGCCCATTAGAACGAAGGTAGGTATGTCTCAGGATCATCTTATCTTCCCCGAGCTGAGAAACTTCTGTGCGACCCCCGGACTTTACTTCCGGGGGGTTTTCCCTTACATTAACCGACAGTCGTGAGGTCTCGGAAGGGGGGGCCGTGCCTACTAAGAAGTAGGTACTACTAGCTAGTGTTGTTGGTGCTAAAGAGTCTCAGCACGAGAATGTCTTTCGGAGAGAACTGCTCACCTAAGGTACGGAAATTCTTAGTGCCTCGAATACTGAGAAGTCTTGCGTTCAAAACTGCATAGGATTGATAGCGCGATGTCCAAGTACTAACTGGGTAGTAGGTAGCCAATGTATCACTTGCGCAATACGTCCTCTGTTTCTAACCCTAATTCCATGGCTTCGAGGGTGTCCACAAGATATCGCTAGAGTCTCGTATCCTCCCACAAGTGTTCCGTGTCTCAGCGGCTCCTTATCTTTTTGCTGGCAGGTAGCTACATCAGCTGTCATAGTATAATACCCCTGAGCACCCAAACGGCACTGGGTATACGAGGCATCTCATCCCACGGATAATATGGCTCTCCACTACGAAGAGCGCAAGAGGGCACTTGCTGTCTCAGAGCGAGGGTACGCTTCTCGGTACCGGAAACATGAGCTTAAGACAACCAGTTTCCGAAATTGCGGGCTGTGAGCGCAGTGACAGCGGCAACACAGTCTACACGGCTACGCCAACCTGTTCCATGGCGTTGGTATACACGATGTCCTTTTAACACAAAGAGTAGCATGTCTAGTAGTTGTTGGCAACTCATATAAGCCCCAAATAGGTTCTTGGTCGTGTGCTAGACGGAAAGGCACTGAGGATAGCCTAGGGGCCTACCCAGGCACTTAGTACCTAGGCCTGAATACTTGATGGCGGGGAAGAACGCTTGAAAACTTTCAATCACTATGCGGTAGGATAATATTGGAATGAGAAGCGTGTGTGTTGAAGGCTATACCTATGAAAGGCATGGTGGTGGGAGTTGACCCCCTGAAAGGGCCCACTTGGACTCCTAAGGAGATAGCTACCACGACATAGACTGTGGATCGGTGTTGATAGAATACGCTACACTAGAATACAATTTAGGAGACTCTCCGCCTTTATAAAACTACAAAAGATTGAGCTATTTACACACCAGTCTTATCTATGTGGTAGTTATCCCCTAATGTACGTAGTCGTGAGCGTGCTACACAGTGAGCAGTCGCCCCTTTTCGAGAAACATCGTTTGTATACTGGGTACCTACGAAGGTAACGAACTACACTAAAGTACCTACCTAGAGGTAATGGCCCCGAAGAACACGAGAATATCCAGCCTGACACTTTGACGCTATATCTTGAAGATCACTGCGCGTGGAAAACGACTTGGGAAGCCCCTGAGTAACTTGTCCATACCTAAGATATCTTATTGGTATCTATCAAAGAGACCAATGAGCCTGAAAAGTTGGAAACTGATGCTGAATATCAACTGTGCGTGTACAGGAGATGGATATCAATGACAGGGCATACAGTAGGTCAATCTCTGAACAAGAGGGGGCGAACTGAATTCTAATCGTCAAGAGCTTCAGTCTCATTTCTATCATACGGTACCTACTAGGATATAAGTGTGGGGGTCACGAATGGTCTATCACTCCTATCCATATTAATGGAGTCTTTCCCAACGACGCCAAGGTTGCTCAAGGCCCCCCTTGTCGAGGTTGCTGTCACCATCACCTAGTCCAAGTTTACCTACCCAACAAGACTTACATATTGTATAACGAATGAGGGTTGTAGAGGCCAGTAGATAATTCATACTGGGTATTCATGTTGAGTATGATCACCAATACGGTTACACATTAGCTAGGCACTCGAAGGCACTCGATATCATATACACCGAACTAGAGACTGAAGTCTGGCATCTCCCGACGTCGCTTTAGGGCAACGTTGCAAAAGGGAGGGAGACAATAAGATCTTGCGGCTCTTCACAATCCCACCGTGACATATTGGCTATCACGCACCATGGCCTGTCGGTAGTTGATACACCATCTTGGCGCCCTCGGCTTGGTAACGTACGTAAATATTGGAAGTCGAGGTGGGGTGAGATGAAGGGGAGCAAATCTTCCCGAAGCTCGTGTTAATGCGTCTATCCTGTCATGTGAAGCGACAAGCGGTCTCGAACTGCGCGTCTATAGTTTTTTTTTTTTTTTTTGCTACGAAGCTGCCCCCCTTTCCCTCCCTTTAATGCCGCACGACCCATCTTTTGCTCGTGATGCCAGACGAGCCACGTAGGTATCCAACAAGCATCACCCTCCAACCGGCAGTGATAGCGTATCCTGCGCAAGCATCCATGGATCATTAGCCGCGGGTTGCAGATCAAAAGGAAGGGTTTGGGTAGGGGTTTTTTTAGAGACATTGTATCTCACCAATAACCTCAAGAGAGGAGATCTGCACGATAGGAAAGATGAAGAAAAAGAATGCTATACGCAAGCATCTTTAGTTACCGACTATCTCGCCAGTACGGTACGACCATAAGCGTGCAGTATAGGGTTCTTCCCAATATTGCGACATACCCTCCCTTTTGGGCCCTGGTATAATACCTATTCAGGTGGGTCGTCGAATAAGGAACGAGGGGAGGGGCTCGTCATCTGATTACTGTACTTTTGACTTATCGTGGCATCCGATCACCACAGGATCACCTCCGGTGACCCGGTTCCGACTATAGTATAGCGATATCTTTTTTTTCTTTTTTTTCTTTTTTTTTTTACAAGGCTGATGTCTTGTCCTTTCGAAAATGCGTATGTTTCCTCGTATTGTAGATATTATAACAACAATCCAATCCAGTGGAAGCAACTTGTTGGCTCCCAGAGGGCAGTGCTAATCGCGAATGGTGCTGCCGCGGATCTGTTGGGGAAGACCAGGGGGGTGGAGAGAGAGAGGGGGTAACTGCGCGGGTCTAGCCTATGGCAGAGCAGATAGGGAGGATCGTGGGACGAAATAGTTAATGGAAAATATCACAGCGCATGAAATATTAGAAATGGCAAGCAGTCGGCAAACCCAAATCCCTAGGCCAAATCCCTAGGCGGCAAAGGCACTTTACGTAGGTACGTGCCTAGTTAGTAGGTAGGTATGTAGATAAAAATGCATCGTTACAATACGTGCCTCTCATACGTCTGTTATATTTCGCCTCATCGTTTCTGTGTCGCTAAATAGCCGCGTCCGATCACGTAGGTTACCCTCTTTGATGCTACCCCAATTATCTCCCGTAAGTAATTGTTAGCGAGTCGTACATCGAGACGGTTGGACGGGAAAGGGAGTTTGATCAACCATCGGGATCGTGTCACGATATACCTACGTGATAACATACCTTTTCACCTACCAAGTTGCCTACACGAGAGAAAAATCAAGATCCAGGGGGAAGTAAAGGAGAGACAGAGAGAGAGCAAAAAGGGGGGAAGACAAGGAGGAGGAGAAAAAAAAAGAAAACGAAATGCCATCCCCTGTACCTAACTTTTTACATCTGTGTTTCCTGACATCTATTTAGGGTCCAGGCAGCCCTCCCCGGGCGGGAAAGGATGCATTGCGCATTGCTTACAGGAAAGGGAGTGTGGGCCATCAAGAACGCTTTTCGCGGGGTGCGTATATTGATTGCATGCATCATCTCTACGCCCGCGCCGCCAGGGCGGAAACGACCTTATAATGCTGCAAATCCATTGGGGCTCGCGGGATGGATGGCTTAAGATCTCACATAAGATGCGCGCCACGACCCGATAAAATACCCCTCCAACTATATTTATAATAGTCAAGATTGGCGCCTGGTGACGCAGGTGTAGTTTATACACTGTTACCTCCTTAGGTAACTACCTGAGCCTGGGGTACCTAAAGTAGGTATGTAGTAGGTTATGCACATAAGTTGATTAGCATGCGTTCATGTAAGTAATGTCTACTAACCTAGGTACCCCTACCTGGTAGGTATGTGATAAGCATCGTATACCTGTTGCTGATCGTGTACCTCCCTACTACCTAAGGCAACCAAAGCAACAACGATAACTACATCCACAACTTTCATGTACACGTGTTGGTAATACGGTACTCAAGGCAAAGGAAGAAAAAAAGGAGACTTCGGATAAAACCTCCCATTAAACAATACCTAATACCTATCTCGAGTAATACCTAACCTAGTACTATCTGCCTACCTCTTAGCTGAGGCCTTTTGTTTTTCCCCAGCTGAGACCCTTAAATCCAAATGGTGTGTACACCCTCTATGCCTACCTAGCTACAACGAGAAATCCAACACCAGATTCGGAAAGGAAAGGAAGACATGAAAATACGCCTCTCGATTTCACCTTCACACCTAAGCGAGTAGTACTCTGTACCCCTCCCCTCTCTCCTCTCCTCTCCTCTCCTCTCCCCTTTGATTAGGCACCTCCCTACCTAGGTACTTGCTAGGTAGGTAGGTAAGGTAGGTTTTGAAGCAAGTTGAACTCAGTTCCACGACTCCCACCTAGTCCACCAAGAGACATAGACGCCGGGCGATGGTGGTAGTACATCCAGAAAAAAAAACAAGATATCTTCCTTCCTTCCTTCATCCTGTAAAGGCCTGTTAGTGCGTGGCAAACCGACGATGGCTTGAAGCTGCCCCCACCCATTCTCACCCCTTCTCTTCCCCCCCTCTCTCTCTCTCATTCTCTTTTTCCACCTTTACCCCTCCCCCTGCATTTTTTTTTTTTGGTACGTTACTTCACAGCAGCCAGGCCATGCACCAGGTCATGCATGTTGAGCGGGGCGACCCTCGGGGTAGCTTCTGGCGCCGTGGGGAAGTGGTGCAGGATGGGCAGCGGGCGCGGCACCTCGCGCACGTCGGGGAACGCGCTGCTGGTGGTGTACTCGCCGGGGAGATCTAGCGCGAACGCCCCCGCGCGCGGAGAATACTGATGATGATGGGCCTGCCGAGCGGTCGTCACCCAGTCCTGCTGGTCGTCGTCCTGCTCGAGGAAGGTGGTCCGGAGGAAGCTCAGGAAGGTGTCTACGTCTTGTTTGGTGGACATGGCGCCTAGACTCGCGCGGACAATGCTAGATGTTCGAAATGTGTCAGTGTAAGCAAATGCAAGTGAAAGCAATTTTGCAAGAAAGTAAAAAAAAAAAAAAAAAAAAAAAAACGCCTCGTTTCAAGTAGCCATCGTAGGTAAGGTACCTAGGTAGGGTAAGACGTAAAATCAAAGTTGTGGCTTGCTTACCCCGTGGGAAGTCTGTGGATGATGCTGATGCCATGCGAGCCGCAGTGGTGGCCTGCAGATAAGGCGCGTTCTGTCATCCAGGGCTCGTAACCGAGGGCTGTGAATATTCCGCCAGGATTACAAACACCTAACAAAGCCAGGAATGTTAGTTCCACCAGCCAACAAAAAGTAACCGGGCGTATTCAAGCTTTTTAAAACTTTTTCTTTTGGGGGCGTTTAGGGGGGGGGGGGGGTGGAAGGGCGTACTCACCTCCAGACCGTATGTAGATCCCTGCCGCGTTTGCGGAACGTTCGACATCAGAGTACGGGACGTGTCGCCCGTTTGCCCGTAGGACGTTGAAGGCAATTGCAGAGCCCTGCTTGGTCGAATCATCAAAGTTGCTGTTCTCGCTGTAGATGCGACAGAGCGCCCGGCCGTTGGAGTGGCGCAGGGAGGCCAAGCCTCGGAACAGTCTAGACGTGAGGTAGGACGCATGGTCCGAGATTTTTCTCATCGAACCGTAGAGCTTCCTGTGCACGTCGATAGCCTCTCCGAGGGCGAGAATACTGTGGAATGGCAGAGTCCCATCTTCCAAGCCCTCGTGGATCTTGTAGGTGGGCGCCTGCAGCCCCTTCGATCGATGCCAGTTCTCGCCGAACGTCGCAACCATGGACACCGTGCCCCCACCGAAATACTTCCTCAGTGTCAAAATGTGCCCTGACTCTTTTCGTACGATCAACGCCCCGATGTCTGGAAACCCAAAGATTTTGTACAGAGACAGACAAGTAAAGTCTGGCGCCTGGTCCACATCTTCAAAGACGGTTTCCATCGGAAATGTCATGGCCAGCGCGGCAGCGTCCAGGAGAGTATATGTGTTTTGTAAATATTCAGATTGCCGTAATGCGCCTGGCCACGATAGGGGCAGTCTTCTGCCAGACATGTTGGACTGTCCGGGGTAGGCGAACAGGCCAAGCCCGCCGGAGTGGTAGCGGTTGACGAAACTTGTCTCAGGGGAATGAAGCCATCTTTCGACGTCCTGATCACTCCGGAAGCAGTAAGATTGGCCATAAGTCAGTTCCCTCACCCCGACAATGCTCGTGTGCGCGTCTTTGTGGTAGCCGTACCAGAACCTCCGGTCACTGGTCTTCTCGGAGAGGTCCCTGAAAGAGTCTGCGACGAGTTTGATGGCGGCGGTGGCGTTCGCCACGAAAATCAGGTCGAAGTGCTCGGGACTTGCGCCGAGGAAGTTGAGGGTCTTCTCCCGAACCTGGTCAACGACATCCCCGGAAAGCTTGGCTGGAGAATTCTCCGAGTGTGGATTTCCGTATAAGTTGGTGACCATTTTGGCGCAAAAGGAGTCGACAGTAGACTTCGCGTATATAGTCGCTCCGCTATGGTCCAGGTAGACCCCTTTTCTCATAGTTAGATACACAGGTAGATAGCTCGAAACGCCAGCACAAAGCTGGAAAGGGGGGACGTACCATCGTTCATATGTGGATATTCTTTCAGGCGCAAGGCCTCCACATCACTGTTATACCCCTTCGACATGGTGAGGAGAGGCATGAGGGATAGTATAGATCGGTAGATGTTCGATACCCTTCGAAGTTTTCCAAAGGGGAGAGCTGAGACAGACTAGGTAGACTATATGGCAAAAATATATGTCACCAAGAAGTTCCTATGCCTTACCCTGTGTGCCGCGAGCGATTATTCTTTTTTTCTCCTCTTGTCCCACCGGCCCCAGACGGAGACTCTTATACTCGTCATCCATCCAACCCTCCTCCCGCTACACATGGGTCCCATCGTATCAAGCACGGGGAAGTAGCGTGGGGTGATATCCGCCCTACATCATCTAGTCGACGAAGGTCAGCAACGAGGTGGTGGCGCTGTCTGCAAGAGTCATCCTGTGTCGACCATTGGCTATGTTGGTATGTTGGAACTCGAAAAGCCTAGCACAAGCGGATGACCGGACAACATCTTGGCGAGTCGATAAGGAAACGGTACGCGCAGCACCATCGTACGCTAAAGACTGCGATCTAGTGACACATCGTACCTGAAGATGGTTCCCTCAGTGATACCTACTTGCCGCACATCTGATGATGAGAGTTTGGCGGGCGCTATTGGATCTTCAATTTTTTTTTGTCTGACACACCTGACCTTTTCCCCTTTCGGAGCGACGACAACAAGTACGTACCTTGGGTATTCCAGTCCTAAAGGAGCCCTCCCGATGGTAATAGGCGTGGGTACCTAAACTTGTATCTTGGATACATCCAAAAACCATCCCGGTCGGGAGCGGAAGCGAGCAAGAAAACTATACTCTTTGAAGCTCCCCATTACCTACTTCACGAGATTTCGGGGACGGCGGTAGCAGGCGTACACTAGTGGACCCTACGCACCTCGACCAAAAAGAAGAGGCGCAAGTGTCAGATGCAAGGGGGATGACGAACCACGTATGATTGGGACGGCTAGCTAGGCAAGTAAGTAAGTAAGTAAGTATGCGTGCGGTTCGCTGCGCATATGGTGGACCCATGGCATGGCGTACTTGATAAGGCTGCTGTCAAATGGATTGCTTTTCAGACTTAACCTTACATAGTACCTACCTACCTACCTACCTACCTACATACTACTAACCTTAGGTAGGTAGCTACAGCGGGAAAACCCTCAAGTACGGGACGACGGACGATGTCCAAATGGGATACACCCCCCCAGCACTTACCGAGGAGGCTCTGGCGGCATAAGCACAAGAACCGGTCGCGGCAAAGTCATGTAAGTATGCAGACACTATTACCACCTGCAAGGGTCATCTAAGACATGGGTTCGGATAGGAAGTCATCCTATTTGGCGGTAGTTCCACCGTTCTGCCCTATTTCCCTATTTTTTTTGCGTGCTGGGGATAGGTCGAGCGCCTCTTTCAGGAAAGCGTTGCGGGGAGAATGCTGAGTGCAACGGCTCGGTATCTGAACGGACTCTGAACCCAATCACCACGGAGGGGAAGGGGGAGGGGGGCACCGCTTGCCGCGAAGTTTATGGGCCAAGAGCTGCGAGCCGATGTACTCCAGGCGGGTTAGCTGCAGCTGCCATCGACTGTGTGTATCGATCCTAAGGCCTAGGATGTTGTGAGGGAGTATTTCAAGGTACATACCTAGTAGGTAGTCTTTAAAGAGTCGATCCCTGCTGCTTGCGAGAAAGTGGTCGCCGACCTCCAGAACCGGAGGGTGTGCGTCATATGGGCACAACTTCTGCAACTCTTTGCGTCTAGACTCGAAAGACCCTAGACACATCACCTCTGCACCGCTGCATTCCATCCTGAACAGTAAGGGTCTTATGGTATAGTACAGTGAGAAAGGGTTCTTTTCGTTCCCCTACTAGGTACCAAATGGTTCAGACGGCGGCTAGCTGTGAGTTCTGAAGGTGTAGGACGGTTCGTCAAAAACGAATTTGTGAATTTTTGAGGTGGACTTGATGACCGTTCCATCGCTTAAAGCCCGCCAAGGCCACGGACGGATTCCATTATTAACAGACGATGCTATTAAACCCTGGAAATTTGCTTTCCCTTGTACCTTTTCTTCAGAGCATCATCATACCATCGCTGACAAATAGCCAGTATATTGTAGGTAAGTTAGCAGATAGCTACCTACCTAGCTAGCCACCTCCCAGGTACCTACCTAGTAACCTAGATAAGTATGATACCTATAAGCTATAAAGTAGGTAGGTGTATAGGTATAACTAGGTAGGTAGATTGGTACTGTATAGTAGCTTGGTAGGTAGGTAAGCCGGCAGATTCACGAAAAAGTCCCAGTGACAAAAGTGAAAGCATTGGAGTATGTTTCTTCCCAAAGAGACTCGGGTTATCCCAAATCCCAGGTCATGCAACCCCCCCCTGGGATCGCCATTTTGACAGCTCTATAATACAAAGCCCTTGACAATATTTGCCCACGAGGCTCGATTCACACCTAGCCACGAACCAATAGCAACACACCGCAACCTCCGTGCTGAACTGACATTGAGCACGAGAGCCATGGGCGCCTATCCCAATCTAAGACTCAGCATTCGTCCGTCTTAAACCCCCGGAGAGTGGTGTACCTTTCAGCGAAGTGCCGTCGGGTCACGTACCTACCTCCCCAATGCGCAACCACCGTCCGGCCGAGTTTCGAATTGCGCTAGTGTCGCGATAGGCGGGCGATTCCTTTTTGACGCTTCGGGCATATCGAGGTATCTGTGGCTGAGTTGCGTTCCTTAGTTTAGAAGCTTAGCCTTCCCTCGTTCGCTGCAGGTGTGTTGCATCGAGCCAGCTGCAATGGAACAAGGAGCTCAAGTTAGTCATGGACCACATCTCGCATTTTGCTTTCTTTGCAAAGCGCGCGCTCAAACTAGAATAACCGTTGCTCGGCTTCCAAGAAAGTGCACTGACTGACCTATGTCGCGCGTATATAGTATATAGGTACTACTAACCTTAGGTAGGTAAGGTAGTTTGCCTAGTCCCGTAGCAAACCGTCTTCGGAACCGCGGATGGAAGAGTCGTGGTTGCGTAAGATCGTAATCAGGATCCATGAATTCCGCCTCTCGTTCTGTAGTATCACTATACCCGAGTCGAGCTTTGTGCTAACTAACCAGGTATGTAGGTAGGTACCTAAGCTACCTAGCGTAGCTGATATCACTTCTCAGCTCTTGTACTGACGCCCCAGCGGATTACCTAGGCCTCCTCTCGCGAAAAGGGTCAAGATAGCTAGCTTATTGTGTCTATCGACCCATTACAATATGCTAACCTAGGTAATCCTGAAGCGTAAACGAGTCACTCAGGTTCAGGACACGCACGTTACTAAGTAACCTTAAGGTATGATCTATTACCTTCAATGGAGAGACTCTGTTGGCGGATTGACCTCGGCTCTTGCCACATCGGCCTGTGTCGTGTTGGAAGATCTAGATAATGATGGCATTGGCTTATTGGAGACCTCACCCGCGCCCTGGCAGCATGCAAACCTACCCTCCTACACAGAATAATCCCGGCCCACCACGCATTGCATTAGGGTCAGATCTCTTGCATCCTCAAAAAGGGCTGGAAAGTCCGGGACGCCCTTTCGTTGTGTACCCAAGGGAGTAAGGCTAGACCCCTAGAAAAAAAAAAGCGGCTGCATCGGTGGGAGATCTCTGTGCCTGGAAAGACGCAGCCTGTCTTGGCGGGCACAACGTCATGTGTGTGTGTGTGTGTGTGTGAACACGAAGATCTCTTCTGCCCTTTTCGGATGAACAGTACCTAGAACAGACAGGCCCGACCTGTCATATCTGTCCGTTTTGGGAACTTGTTGATAGATAGAGGGCCATGTTTGGAGGCCTGTTTAGCACACCCTTCCTAGGTGTCTGATTTTCAGGTGAGCAGACACCTAGGTGTTCGGCTTCGCAGATGATTGGTCGATGGCTACCCCTGACGCGCCACCTATGACCTCGCTTCGAGTACCATATGCCCACTATACAAGCCTCGTGCAAGCTGAGGATCATATTTCTATCTTTATATCAAGCCCACAATAATCAGTCGATCATCCTGGATCCCTCTCAGGATTGTCTCCGCCTATATCGATTTCTCCGCAGATTCAGGCCTTGTTTACATCTGAATCGGGACGGCCTGCTAGTGGCAAGCAGGATAGCTTCATATTTCTCTATCTCTCTTAACTGTCACATGGGGCAAAGTAAGGGGATCCTGACAGACAGATTGACAAAAGCGGTATCGAGAAGACAATAGACCGGCAATAATACCACCTAGGCGCCATATAAAAGCGGCTCTATAGCTCGCACGGAGCCCAAGAGATCGCCGCACGGATAGCTTCCAGGCGGGGCTGATCTTTGACGAGGTGGGTTCGTACAGCTTGCCCGGCTTCAGTTGACTTCCATCAAGCTGCGAAGCTATACTCTCTTTGACCTCTCCCAAGTTAGCATATATTGATCTATGTATTAGATTGTTATCATAACCGGTGAGCCGCATTGCCTTTCTGAGCTTGACGTGCTGGATTCCTGCCTACCTAGGTAGGCAGACTAGAGACAAGCTTGCAGATCAAGTCCGGTTGAGGACAGACGTGCCTCTACCTACGCCAGTTTCCTAAGTTGGTGCAACATACAGGGGTTTCTGAGTACGGTCGTGCTAAAACGAACATCTGCCTGGATGAGAGAATCAGCCGTCTTGTTGCGGTCCTCGAATTGCGTTTCATGTCCAACTTCGTAAGTGTTGCCACGGCCTGAAGGCAAGGGGTGTCGGACCCCCACGAACTACCTGAAAAGCGCAATCGATGTCTAAAGGCTGACTGTGATAGGAAGTATGAGGATACCACTTCTGAGGCTATGACCCTGGTTCCTAATTACTACTTCATATTGTGTGAGAGGCGTCAGGATATAGATACATGCTGTCGTAGATACTACATGTAGGTATTCAGGTAGGTATGGATGGATGGTTGACGGCTCCATGCAGATGAAGCTGTTTCTTGAAGCTGTGGGAAGATGCCCAGGTGATGAAGGAATAAACTAGTATAAATACACAGGTCCCCGCATACAAACAGCATGTCTCATGTCTTGACTCTTGGGTCATATACTACAGCCTTTTACAAGTTTCAGCCGTCAAGCTAACATTACTCTTTCTTAGATGTCACATCCATGCCTAAGTGTTTTCTTTACCAATCGTTCGGCAGTGCAAACGCAGTTATGCAATCTTCCATCACCAATCGTTTTCACGGCGTTACTAATGTCATCTCGCATAGACATAGATATGGCCCAGTGCGATATTAAGATACTCATATGTACAAGAAAAATAAATGTAAACCCCCGTGGACTGGTATCTATCGTGACATTATCAGGGCACCCGCCTAGCCCTTAAATCGTAAGCGAATATGTATCCTTCATCTCGTAAGCTCTCGTCAACATCCGCCCCAAAGACATAACAGCCTGCCTAGGCATCACTCTCCAGGACCGGACCTTATTAGTTACGACCCTCCGCCCCCTTAAAAACGCCACAGGGAAGAAGAATGTGAAGAAGTTTTATGCAAAGAACTTTTTAGTAATCCAGCCGACCAGACGAAGCTTCTAAGTAGGTAGGTAGCTTCGACAGCCCCCCTTTTTCAGGTTACTTGTATCAACGCTCTACAGCATCGCAAGGAACCCCGCGACGACCGGCGCGAACGCCAGCGTCTTCAGGACCTCCAGCGCCGCGCCCGCGCCCGTGACGGGGATGCTCGGGTAGGCGCTCGGGGTCGGCGAGGTCTTGGCGCCGCCGCTGCCGGACGGGTACGTCGGGGTTGTTCCGTTCGATCCCGGGTTCGTGACGGCGAAGTTGGCGCAGGAGATGCGGGTCTTGTTGGCGAAGTGGAAGACGAAGCTGCGGTTGCCGAAGTAGGCGCCCTCGCCCTCGACCAGCGACGTGTACGGGTCGCTGAACTTGGCCGTGAACGGTTCCGTCGTGTTGCCGCTGATCTTGCCGTACTTCCCGCTCAGGTCGCCCTGCTGGCACGCCTGCGGCCGAGTTGGGTCGCAGGCCGGGTCCTCGCCTCGGATGTACTGGTCCAGGTGTGCTTGTGTGGCTGTGCAGTTGCCGTTCTCGGGGACGGGGGTGACGTGGATGTGGTAGACTGGGGGGAGGGGAGTTGGGTTAGTCACGATGGCAGCAAACAAGAGAAAGGGGTGGTGTGGGGGAGGGAGGATAGAACATACTGAAAGGACCGCCCTCCTTCGGAAGGTTCGAGAATGAGACCTCGTAGTCAACGCCGACACCATTCGCGCCTGATGTCGCGGATATACTACCCTTGACATTGCCGTCCAGGGCTCCTTTCCAGAATGCTTCTTCCGGGAGAGTGGCGACAGCGACCTTCCCGGCAGGGTTACCCGTCGTTACGGTGGCATCTCCTAGTTGCTGGAAATCGAGTCAGTACTGGGTCTCAAAATAATATATTCTTATTTTGCTTTGATTGGTTTAGGCATAAGTGTATGGGAACTGGGAACTTACTCCTGTCACGTTGCCTTGAGCGAGGACATTGGATGCGCCAATGGCAGAGAGCGAGATGATATTGGACACGCGCATTTTGATCGTTGGTATGTGGATGAGGGATAGTAGATCAAAGGGGAGAGAGAAAGAGAGAAGGCCGGTTGGTTATATGCGTAGAGATGCAGGCTTATTATAGGAGAGTTGTGATATATGTAGATCTGCGTAGGATGGCGGCGTGGTATTATGGCGTAGTTTGCCTGGGTTGCTTGTAATCTGGAATTAGAAGTAACAGCCAGATTTATTTTGCCAATTACACTAAGTTTATGCGCCTGCAAAGACAAGGGCTTAATAGAATCAAATACTGAAAGAGAACAAAGAGGGTAAAATCAACAACAAGGAGGGAGGGCTTGTAAGTCTTTATACCGGGCGACTCTTTGCCTCCAATGATACCGTAATGGAGGGTGTTACTTTTGTCACTTTTTGTCACTTTGTTTAGCGGCACGGCATGCATGAAAGTACCAACATAACAAATACTTTGTCCTAACATAATCTTCATGGGCCAGAACCTTGAGCAGGCGCCTTCCCGCCTGCCTGCCTTTGTATAACTACATACATAGAGAGAGGAGAAAGCCGGTGAGCCGGCTAGAAGCTCGATGGTACCTAAGTAAGGTAGACCTTTGATGAGACCAAGAGTCCACTGATGGGACCTTGCATCATTCCTCATCTAGAAATGACCAAATTTGGAAACGTAGCACAGCAAATCAATATCCATTCACAGGGATCAACAGACGAGAGATCACATACCAACGAATCACACAATAGGTCCAAGCTAACCCTGTCGTAGACAGGGCTCAGTCACATGGAGGCCAAGAAAGCCAAGCAGATTATCCGGAGCGATGGGAGTAAACGAAACAAGTAACTTTAGAAACATATCAACTGCCTTTGGTTTCCCATGTTTTACTGAACTTGAATATTGCCACGATGTCTATGACGAACATTGGTTTACAAATGCATAACCTGCCGTAAGTAGATCTCAGTGAGGGTAGGAGAATAGAAATAGCCGTCATAGCCGGGAGCCCAGGGTTTGTTCTGCTACGAAGCACTGAGGAGCAGGGCAGAGCAGGCTCGCCTAGCTAGATATTTACCGATCGTCTCCCACGTCAGCACTTTCGAGCTTGGTGGGTTCTGACTGGTTCTGTAACTTCAAGTTCGGTTGTAGCGGTACAGTGGTGGCGTTTGTACTTGTGTACGGATGTAATGTAGCTCACATAACTATTTAGGTACATATATGTACCGGTGTCTGATTTGTGTTGCCCCCCTCAAAGACACTTCTAAGTTCTAATAATACACACATACGTAGAATCAGACCCATTTAGCCATATTCAAAGCAAGCACAATCCGCAAACCATTGGAACACACCTGGCCAGCTTTTAAACCATAGATAGTTTTTAAGGGCATACAACTGGACGTGGTGAAAGATTGACAGTTGACGCTAGGTGATCATTGGACCGGTCTTGGGTAGGGCTCTGCAATATGTGCATACATATGTACTACATAACACTGGGTAAAAAAGGACGTTAGGCGGCTCTAGGGTCCGTCCCATCCAGTAAAATCGGCGAGATCGTCAAGCAACCCCAATCTGCAGAGGCAGTGCTAGCGCTAAGCTTGTTGTAGATTAGAAGCCTGAAGACGGGCTGGGCAACCTAGTACTACATAGGTAGGTGTGTAGCTGGAAGATGTAGCTCCTATCATAGGCTGCGAGCCGCCATCTGCAGGTACGTAAGCTGTGCTGACATGCCTAGGTCGGTGCCTATTAGGGGATGTAATACCTCCCCAGTAGCGTAGTATACATGTAAGTACCTACCGAGTAATCCACCATCCACCATCCAACGGCTACATAATAAACAATCCGCTACGACATAGTTATGTACGAAGCCGTAGGACGGGGCACTTGTCTCATGATAATTTTCTGTGTTCCAATCGAACAGGAACCCATATTTAAACAACAACAATAATAGCATTGTCAGAATGGCTTTGCGGCTTCAAGCAAATGAGGTGAATGAGGTAGCCAGCCACCAGTTACCTACCTAATAATTCATGCCTTCTTTGCATGGCCTTATTACCAAGTAATTTCCATGCTGTAGGATCTTTATCCCAACTTCAGCCCAATCTGACTGGTATTGTACGTAAGTTCGTGTGTGTCCTTACTTATAGTAGGTTATGCACTCCTAGTGTAATCCAAGACCCCCTTCGGAGTTTATTAAGACCATTGAACCCTTGGAGTGCATGTTATATTGCGTGTTATATAAACTCGTAAATGCCGGCACAGACTGAGCCGAACAACTGTAATTCATGTGTAGGTAGTGAATGTGGGATATGTGTAAAACCATTGATTAAAGATGATGAAGACGGTGACAATGATGATATGTACTAGGTATAACCTAGATGCAATATATTGAGATGAAATGAAATTCGGGAGCTCCCGAGGTCCCATCCGAACGGATAACTATATATTATGGACATACCCCAGATCAAGGGTTAGTTAAAGATTAAAACAAAACAAAGCGGTGGGCGGTAACAAATCACGGTCATTGATACATACCTAACCTTACCTAGGTAGTTAGTTAACTTGGAACGGACGGATGTTAGCCCAGGGGGGCTTGAGATACACTAGTCTATCGGATTAAATTTACTACCAACCTCCGACGCCTCAATACCCAGCCTCATTCTTATAACGCGGTAACTTTGAAGCTAGGTATTGTACATAGCTTAGGTAATGCACGTGCAGATGCATATTTACAATTGTGACATTCTCCAATGACAATTCAATTTCGTGTGGATCATTCAAGGTTACTGTGACGCCGACAACGACAACGACTACGACTACGACATTATTTCTGTAAATCAGCTTTCATCTCCTTTACCCTTCATTGCATTAGACCCGAACCCAAACCCGCCCAACCATTAGCGATCCATTGTCGATTTCTCCCTTCGCGAAACCGACATACCAATCGATCGATAGCAGAGCAGAGCTCCTAACCACTCACCATATCTCGCCCATCATGAAGCCCGTCGTTAGTTCTATGCAAGCATGGTCTTGGTGAGCAATTCCCTCCCCTCCTCTCTTCATGGGATATGTACCTACTAGGCACTATGCGTATTTCTGTGTGCATTAGGTACCTACCTAGTACCTATAAAATGAGACACCTTCACTAACGACGCGCGTTACCCTTCCCACAGCGTCGTCATCTCCGTCTTCGCCATCGTCATCCTCTCCATCCTCGGCGGTGTCTTCTCCAGCAATCACCATGAATTCGTAGGCGGCGCCAACGATCCCGAGGACGGCTCCGCTGTTGCGGGAACCGTGTTTACCGCCGTTATCGTCTACGCTGTAAGTTTCCACACGACGTCACCATATATATTCAACCGAGGGAAAAGAGAAAGGGAATAGATCTTGCAAGTTGCTTACGTGTTATAGGCTTTCTTGGTATTCTGCGGCCTTCAGGGCATGTTGCATCTACGCGAGAACCGCCGAGGCGCTATCGCGTTGTCATGAACGCGGGACACGATCCTTCGGACAAACGTTAATCGGTGCCAACTTACAAACCTGCACACGCATTACGGATATCGATATTCTACGTGGAAGGAGTTGGGGTGCGGCATTTGGAGTTACTGAGCCACTTCTAACACCCTGCTATGTGGCTGTTCGCGAATTCTAGCTACCGAGAGTGTCGTTGTGGTTAGGAGAGGTGTCTGTATGAGTAAGAGAGTATATTGATAAAGGTGGATAAGCAGCGTCATCACGGCCTCGCTATCACTGGGTATTTCCCTCCTCCTCCTCCTCGACTATGGGAGCCTTTCGCGATAGGGGGGGAGCCGGTGCATCAATAAGTCGGTCGGTCATAGATTTTCCAAGTACTAGGTACTTTCGTCACCAAGGCATACATAGATGTCTTACATTTCTTGTCGCGCACACATATTGTACTATACAGCCAGAGATCTGGCAAGACTCGCATCACTCAGTTGATGTCGACTAGGCATAATGGGAAGAGCAAACAGTTTCTTTTATCACAAGTCAAACATCGGCACTTTTCCTCCTCTTTTTATCCTAGGTACTTGCCTAATCACCTAACCTAGTACCTTCGGGATAACAGGACTTACTTGTTGTTCAATGGATGGCAATGCCAAGCTAACATATACGAAATGCCTGGAAGCATTTTGGGCGCAGTGGATACCTAAGACTCGTGAGGTAGGTAGGTGGCTTTGGGTTTCCTGCTGTAACGAGGCAGCATAAATGACCCAAGTGTCATCCATGTACATAAGAGATGGAAGATTCAAGTGAGAGATGGCGAGATGGGGAAGGGACTTGATCATTATCAACCAACCAACCTAGAAAAATGCTGTTTTCTCAAGGTGAAGGCGACGGGCAATTTACCTTGCATAGGTAGGTATTTTAGTGATTCCAGTCCATAATTCCGTAAGATATTGCCTACGACGCAGTCTATCAAAAAGCTCTGAATAGCTTCTCTGCTAGGTTAGGTAACTAAGCACAAAGGCATGAAAGGGGGGGGGGGACGGTAGCGAGCCCCTCAAGGGAAGAAGGCATCCACAACGCAATCCATCGTTATAGGTGCCTACTAGGTACATAGATACCCATGGTATATTCATTTAGATTTAGATTCTACGACCTGATTGATTGATTGATTGATTGATATATCTGGGACTCTACGTAGCCGCGATTTTCCCAGTCCTACAGTACTAACCTAGTATGGTACGGTACACCACAATATAGCAGTGCCACCTAAGCAGAAACCTCCTTCATTCATTCCATGTGGGCCTATTAACCTTCATACTAGGTATCTTGCCAGCCCCAAAACTAGAAACATTAAAAAAAGCTGACCCCTTAAACGCCGTTTTAGTTACACTGCAAACAGTTGGAGATGTCCTTCGAATTCCACATCGAGGTTGAATATGGAACTCTCAGGTACCTAGGTAGGTTAGGTGCTCAGCCTCTTAAGGTCCCTCATCAACTCTCGACCTATGTAAACACCTACGTACGTCTCAAGCACGAGCATCTTCACATACATACTGCCATTAATCGCAGCCAGCGATACCTTATCCATATCGTGCCAAGGTCTTAGGAGAAGTGTGGTGAACGACATGACCTAGAGCACTCAAATGTAAAAGTACATGCTCTAAGCATTGCCCTCAGCAGCTGGTGTGTGTTCTCCTTGCTGCGACTCGACACCATGGAAGGCATCACCGAACGCGGAATCTTCCATATCCAAGTCCAGACCTTCACCGAGTTCACCGGGCGTCCCGCTGAACCCAGCCAATGCATCGCCGGCAGTGTTCAAGTCTTCCAATGAGCCAAACTCATTTTGCTCGCTCTCAAAGCCCATCGAAGGAGTACCTGTCGCGGAAGCCTGCTTGCTTGCATTTTCTGCTGGTTTTGGTGGGTCGTTGGCGGGAGTCGGATTCGTAGATCCGTCGGGAATAGCGTCGCCTTTGGGAATTACCACCCAGTCACCACTTCCGGTCCCTTGATCGGGAGCGGTCCCAGTTGGTGGTTCAGTGCCACCTGTGCCATCATCCATCTTCACATCACCCGAATTATCATTTGAGGGAGGTGGTAAGGGTGAGGGAACGGTTGGATTGGCCGGGGTGGCAGCGCCAGATTGGATGGTTGAAGCGTGGGCTTGGACTTGAGGTTGGGGTGTTGGGATGTTATTTGCCGGCGTAGAAGCAGACGAAGCACCTGGTCCCGTATGTATCTGATCAAGGAGGCCGGCGGCGGTTCCGCCCATGTCAATATCGGCATCACCAGCCATAAACCCACTGTGTTGGGATCCGGCATGAGATGGTTGACGGGACATCACGCCGCTTCCGCTTGCGCTACCATTTTGGGGGGCGCCGGTGGTGTTTCCTGGAATTGCCGTAGGCTGTGGAGCTGGCTCTTGATATCCACCGTCCTGTATTCGTCTTAGTTCATAGATGACCTCTGCTCGACGGCCAAGATGTGCCTCAACCTGAGATACAATCTCGTCAACTTTCTTATTGTGCTTCAAGGGCCAGCGATTTGCACCATCGTCGTCGTCTTCCGTCATGCCCTCTAATTGTAGAGCATCAGGGCCATGCTCGTCAATGGCTGAACGTAATTCCCTTTCAGCAGTAGTAAGAAGAGAATTGTGCTTAAACTTGTTCACCTTCCTGGCATGTTCTGCCTTCATTTTCTCAATCTCCGCCTCAGTGGAACGAATTCGCTCAGTGACTCGCTCACGAAACTCGGAGGCTTGCTTAGCATCTATCAGAGTCGTGTTAGGCGCCGAAGGTGATTGTGTAGCGGGATTGTAACCGTGGGCCTGGAAAATGCCGTCGGTTAGTCCAGAAAGCTCGCCCTTGAGACCTAGCCCAAGATCGGAAAAGCCAATCTGGCCCATTCTATATGGTGACGAAAGTATTTGTTCCATCCATTCATGGTTTTGTTGGTAGCGAGCTAGGCTGACTTCGCGGGGAGTCAAGTGATCAAAAAGGTCACCACGAAATGTGTCTTCCTCATCGTCATACGAATTATCTTGTGGGGGAATAGCAGCCATAGCAGGAGCTATTTGTCCCTGTGCAGCTTGGGCTGTCCGAGCACGTTTTGATGGTGGCCCGCTAGGTGTTGCAGGATGGGCAGGATATGCCATGGTCTGAGGAACTCCGCGGTGGCCAGCGTATATTGGCTGCCTCGAGGTTTCTCTAGGCCAGGCAATCTGTGGCCAATTCACTCGATCACCAAGTATGAACTCTTTCCGCTGGATTTGCCCGCATCGCTGAAGATAAGCGCGGGTTTCCAGGATAGACTGTGTCCGAGGATCTCGCGGGATCATCTGTGTCGGAATTCGCTCGTTGTTGTCAATAGGACCATAGTGAACAACCCAAAGACTAGGATCGACTTGGGGGGCGTTCGGGTTGTGGACGCTCGGAGGGATGAGGCGGAAGCGGCGCCTGGAGCGAGTTGCAATGGCATCACCGTAGGCGAAACCGACTTTATGAAAATACATCTCGAGGATCTATAAAGGGAAGGATAAGCCAATAGCTAACAGTGAGAGAGTTGGCTAGACAACATACCACGCCATTTCCTACTTCCTGTGGAATATATTGTTCCTGAGGAGGCCAGATAAGACCGTCGCTAGCGAAGTTCACGCCCATCTGTTGCAATGGCTGCCATGTTAAGAAGGCATTCCCACTCTCGGGGCGGTCAATATAGGTCCAGAAGAAGGGCGAGGTGTCGCGCGCTATCTTGGGAGCTTGCATCAACAAATGGGTGACTTCGGATGGCTCAACTCTGGCCTTTAAAGTATGTCGATGAGTACAAATAAGGTGCACATGTGGAAGCTGATGATTATATTCATATTAGCAAGCAATCATATATAGATATATAGGTATATATAGATGTGTGGTAATGGGTTAATAATACCAGGTCTCTATGGACCCCGAAACTGGGGTCGCCCATTGATGACATTATTTGAAAATAGTTTCAATCAAGATAAGTCGCGATGTAATATGAGGTTGAAATAAGTGGGTGGATTGTTGAGGCGCAAAAAGGAAATTCGTAAGGAGCTGGATGGTTTTGGCTATGCGCGCAAAGTTTCGGTTTGGATGGTCGCGAACTTTACTTGTAAGATGTGAATTGAATGCGCGACGGACAACTAGGGAACTTTCCTTTAGCCTGCGGCTGGGCTTGTGGGTCCTTACCTAGTACTTCGTAGGTAGCATCCATTAAGAACTTGCACAAGGATTGTGGCTAGTACTAGGTAGCTACATACCTGTGCCACAGTTTGTATGGTCTGAAAGCCAATCACAGGCGGCCAGCATACCTCCTACAAGCCTACCTACGTCTATACACAGTAGTAGGAGTTTGATGATAACAACATCATCTTGCACATTTTGATGCGATACTTACAAAGACGACTTTACCTCAACATACTATACTATTTACCTATATATGGATTGTCTCAACAACTAGCTTACGCCAGGGTTTCTATACCTCATCACAAGGCTCTGATTATTTCAAGTTCATTTACAATCAGACACTTTGCCAAAAAGGGGAGACCAGTCTAAGAGAGCTGGTATATCTACCTAGGTAGTTTTGTTTTTTCCAATTGTTTATTGGCATTGACTATTTTGCCATTATTTCATATTTGACTTTAGTCTTCTAAACCGGGATGCATATGTTATACCATAGCATGCTTTAGTTTTAAAGCATACCCTTTCTATCTATTCAGACGGGGTTTACCCACGCGCCAACTTGGTTATTGGCAAGTTACTTTCCCTCCTTGTTTACACAAGCCCCCTTTTTACGCTTGGTATGTAGACGCGGAAACATTTCCTCCACGGCCAGTCCAGTTCACGTGGTGATAGTTGCCCTCGGTGTATTTGGCGTTGGCAAGCTCGGGCTTGACCAGGAAGGTGTGTGCTCCAAAGTAATCACGTTGAGCCTGGAGAAGGTTGGCGGGTAGGTCCTTGGTGCGGTAACCATCGAACCATGACAGAGCAGTTGAGAAAGCGGGGGTCGGGATGCCGAGTACGGCTGCCTTAGCAACGACGTCTCTCCAGCCGGGTTGGGCCGTGTGGATAGCCTTGTTGAAGAAGTCATCAAATAGCAGGTTCTCTAGGTCGGGGTTGTTTCGGTAAGCAGCGGTGATATCCTTCAAGAAGACAGAACGGATGATGCAACCACCTCTCCACATCAAGGCGATTGAAGGCTTGTTGAGCTTCCACTTGTACTCCTTCGCGGCCTGTTTATTTATGGTTAGCTAACTGTCCATGAAATAGGATAAAGCGTGGGGTGAGTCAGACCTCTTGCATCAGCATGAAACCTTGAGCATACGAGATGATCTTGGAGGCGTACAGGGCCTGCTCGAGGTCGTCAAGGAATTGTTCCTTGCTACCCTCAAACTTAGTTGTTCGGCCGACATATTGCAGCTTCTGCGAGGCCTTCGTTCGCTCAGCCTTGACAGAAGACAAGCAACGCGCAAGCACAGCCTCGGCAATCAAAGTGACGGGCATTCCAAGGTCCAAGGCATTGATGGCAGTCCACTTGCCGGTTCCCTTCTGGCCAGCCGAGTCGAGGATCTTCTCAACTAGTGGCGTTCCATCCTCATCGTTGTAGTACATGATATCGCGAGTGATCTCGATCAAGAACGAATCCAAAACGCCCTTGTTCCACTTCGCGAATACATCTCCCATCTCCTTGTTCGACATGCCAAGACCTCGCTTCATGATATCATAGGCCTAAATAATCAGGTAAGCTTTTTTTTTCCTTCGTCATTTGCTAACAGTTGAATTTGTAATGAGGGGGAAAAACGAACCTCGCAAATAAGTTGCATATCACCATACTCAATACCGTTGTGCACCATCTTGACGTAGTGGCCAGCACCCTCGTCACCGACCCACTCACAACAGGGCTCGTCGTCACTCTTGGCAGCGATGCTCTGGAAAATGTCCTTGACGTAGGGCCACGCCTCTTCGTTACCACCGGGCATCAAAGAGGGGCCGTATCGAGCACCCTCTTCACCACCGGAAACACCGGAACCGACAAAGCGGATGCCCTTGGTCGACAAGTACTTAGTTCGTCGGTTGGAGTCGGGGAAGTGAGAGTTGCCGCCGTCAATGATGACATCTCCCTTTTCTAGTAGAGGAAGTAGGGTCTCGATCCAGTCGTCGACGGCCTTGCCAGCCTGGACTAGCAGCATGACACGGCGAGGGCTCTTTAGTTTGGAGATGAACTCCTCGTTGGAGTGGGCACCGACAATGGACTTGCCCTTGGCCTCGTTCGCCAAGAAGGCATCGACCTTGGAAACAGTTCGGTTATAGGCACAGATGGTGAAGCCGTGGTCGGCCATGTTCAGAATAAGGTTCTGACCCCTACGTACAAAATATGAATACCTCGAGTCTATAGCAAAGGGGGGTTAGGAGGCTGGTGCAACTTACATAACGGCCAAGCCGATAAGGCCCAAATCAGCACTTTCGGAATCGTTAGCATGACTTCAACGGAATAAATGGCTCCTATAACGGAAGCGTGAAGATCAAGATAAATGGAAGAAGCTCGCCTTGGGCCTCCTAGAGATTGAGTTATGTTGGCAAGACGAGCCCTAGAGGGCCCGAGGAATTATTTCAGCTACATGAGTCGTGAAGACGTTATGAAAACAAGACGGGACAAGACAAGATTCTTCGGCGGGGTGAAGCCTTTGATGGCGGGGTAATCATCGTCGCCCGACTAACAGAGTGAAAAGGGAAATGGGAATGGGTAGAGTAGATGGATTGTTAAACTTACACGGGGCCAGACATGATTGCGGTTGTTCTTATTGTTCAATTGTTTTAGTGGTTGGATGTAGGTATTTTCACAGAAAATAGAATCAAGTTGAAGGTATGGGAAAAAGAAACAGCGCAACAAGCGGATGAAGACGGGAAGTGCGGTTACTTTTCTATGATGGCAGCCGTTAGGAAAAGTGGATTTGGAGGGGTAGGTGCGCCGTCAGGGTTTTTTTTTGTTTTTTTTCTTTCCTTCTTTTTTTTTCTTACGTCGGTTTGTTCATCTTGTTAATGAAATACCTCACCCCTTGCTCTTCCTTCAACTTACTAACAACATTGAATGTCTAACATCCCTGGCTATCCTAGTACTTTCCTACTATTGCTACTGTAATGTAGTAACCAACCTTACCTAACATGGAAGTTTCCCAAACACAAGGCTGATATTCCCAACTTATTCGTCCGTCCGAAGGTACGAGGCTTATTCATACCCTTCTGTTTTTTCTTAACACTTTGTAATATGTACCTGCCTACCTATCTGGTACAGTGCTAGGTAGGTTCTCCCCCTTACTCACATCGAGTGTTTGGCTGTAACCTAGAATTGTAATACATCGGTATTCTCGCTACTGTGCCAGTACGACCCTGCTTCTCGGTAGAATCAATCATATAAAAACAGGCCATTTTGTTCTCCTCAAGTCAGAAGAGACGCCTCATCTTAGTCTTGGGTGATTCAGAATTTCCCCGTCTCGCCTCAAACGATGTTTCGCAAGAATCCCCCGGGGACGTGAATTGTGCCTAGCCTTGAATAGGTACAGGTAGGAGTCGCAGGACTATGAGACATGTAGCGATGTTCGGAACACGGAGATACCGGAAAACGATAAGAAGACCCTAGTCACTCGTAGTCAGGGGCTATTTTACGATGCAAGCGAGCAGTATATTGATTCAGCCTAAGACCTATATATCTTCTTTACTCTAGAGATCAGGCCTAATTACTTAAAACACAAAACTTGGTCGTCTACCCAGCCTTATAAATCAAGTTGCTTGAGTGATTGCAACAACATTGAACCGGGCCTTATTCATCCACAACTAGGACAGAGGTAGGTTCGAAAGTCAGGCAACAAATTAACAGCCTAGAACGTGCCTAACCCACATACGGGCCAATCATAAATCGGACCTAAATGCTCGGCCCTTTATGCGGATTGCCGGGCCTCTAGATTCTTTGATATATGACTTGATGCAGCAGGTGACCCGGGCATTTGACCGTAAGCCGGGGAATAAGACAAGAGAGAATAAAGAGGTACATGTATCTTGGCTCATTCAACATCAGAAATATACTACCTAGTAGGTAATGGCCTTGGTAGGTTCGTAAGCAGCAATCACTGAAATATTTACAAGACGAAAGATTCGGTAATTACCTAGTTAGGTACATAGGTATGTGTAGTAACTACTTCCATTCAAGTTGTTCCAAGTTTCAACTTCCAAGTTGTACGGTTGTACCTATTTAGGTCATAAGAAAGTTGGAGCTTGACAAGTGCCAGAGCTATTAGACAGATGTCAGCTCAGCCCCACCATGTTATCAATAATCAGCCACATGCAAGGTCATAGTTCACACAACACGTGATTTACTGAAAGTGCCAGCCACCTGGCACATCTTAAGCTCAAGAACTTTCCACCGTGCACCCTTGTTCTAGTAGGTACCTAACCTAATCCAACTTCAGGTTAAGGATAAAGAACTTGATCGTTTCTTACCATTGAATAACTATTTCGACGTATGTACACAATTCACAACGACACCAACAACAATTACTCGTACTCACGATACTAAACGAAATCACACAGTCCTTGCCGATAAAATATAACAACGATACGAAGGATTCATATACACCTACATCTATAGGTACCTAATACTCGAGTTCGTACTACTTACACACGTGCTACATACGTATAGTAAACTTACCAGCCTCCGAAGAATCAAAGTCGAACAAGAGTTCTGCGACAGCAAGGGAGAAAGAAGTCTAGGAAATAGAGACACTTGTTGGTCTCGTAGGTACGTGTTGATCCCGAAACACCAACACCACCTTTTTTCTTCGGGCGCACAGCAAAATTCATCATGTCCTATCCGCCTCCTCCAGGCTCGAACTCCCTACCACCGCGCCCACCACCATCGCGCGTCTCCGGCTTCAAGCCCGCCTTCCCCTCGGCGGCGCCGCCACCAACCCACACACCGAGCCCCGGTGCCGTCGCCAATCCATACGGTGCACCACCATCCGCCTACTCTAGCGCTCCGAGCTATGCCAGCGCCCCAGCTGCCCGCTATGGGGCTCCCCCTCCCTCCACGTCTTCGTCGTACCAATCATACGCGCGACCGGGTTCCGTGACCGGCGGATATCAGCAGCAGCAATCATCCTACCAATATCCAGGCCAGCCAGGCCAGCCAGGCCAGCAGCCGGGCTACCAGCAGAACTACTACGGTGCCAGTGCCGCCCAAGCAGCTCCTAGTACCGCCTCCTATGCCGCCCCACCCCAAATCCGCAATCCCTTCCCCGCGCCCTCGCAGGCAAGGACCGATGACTATGACCCGGACATGGCGGCTCAGATTGCTCAATGGCAGAGTGCCTACGTAAAAGATCCCACTAGGGAAGGGGGTGCTGCCCCCGCACCGGGAGCTGGAGGACGAGGTGGTTATGCAAATGGTGCGATGACTTACACGGCGGAACCAAGCACCAACCCTGCGGCCGTGGCAGCAGCAGCAGCAACCGCCGCCGCGACCGCCGCCGAGACGGCAGCGAACCCAGACAAGAAAAAGACGGTAGTACGGGCAGGCGGTGGACAGAAATGGACGGACGACACGCTCCTCGAATGGGATCCCTCACATCTACGTCTCTTCGTCGGTAACCTGGCCGGCGAGACCACCGACGAATCCCTCTACAAGGCCTTCTCCCAATGGAAATCGCTGCAGAAAGCGCGCGTCATCCGCGACAAGGTGACGTCCAAGTCCCGGGGCTACGGCTTCGTGTCCTTCAGCGACCCGGATGAGTTCTTCCAGGCCGCCAAGGAGATGAACGGCAAGTACATCCAGAGCCACCCGGTCGTCGTCCGCAAGAGCACCACCGAGATCAAGCCCGCCGTCGTCAAGGACAGCAAATGGCACCGGAACAACAAGAACAAAAACAAGAATAACCGGAACCGAGGGAATGGCGGATCCGGAGCCGGAAATGGTGGTGGCAAGCACGAGGATGGCTTCGAGCCACATCTTGGTCCTACGCCAGCCGGTGTGCACAAACCGGGCCAGAAGACGAAGGGGGGGTTGAGATTACTGGGTTGAGTGAGGTCCTTGCGAGAGCAGGACCAAGCTCGTCTATACCGAACTCGCATACCCACTTCCCCGTCCATCTACTTAACCTTACCTACCTACCTCCCTATATCAATAATGCCTGCCTCTTAGGTGTTGAAGAGATCAATCTCACAGGATACCATACCACACCATGCCAAATCATACCAGCCAACTGCTACCCAAAGCCCCTTGCCTAGGTACCACAACCATAAGACAAGACCAAAAGAAAGAAAGAAAGCTTTCCTTCTGCACTAGGTAGAAACCTTCCAGGTATATGTTGTACATAACTTGTACACACGTGCGTACTCGATACCTATTAATAGACCTTCAAGTGAAATGAAACCATACCTGCTAGGTACATGAACACACAAGATCTGTCCGAGGACTTCTGTACCCTGTGATACGTTGTTCGTGATATGTGATACCAGATCGACGGTGGTCTCTTTTTAACTGTCTCTCCTGGTGATAGATAGATACCTACTTGTTCATGAAAAGGACCTTAGGTATTGTAGGTCACTGGCGTACATACATACATACCTTACCTACGTTAGATAATAATTACTTGCGTATAAGGAAGGTAACCTAGTATGTACATTCATTCATTCATTGCCCACATAACTATAAAACACGTCCTTCTATCTATCTATCTACCTATCCATCCATCTTCCCAACTGTTACCTTTTTCTCTCGCCTTTTACCTTTTACCTTTTACCTGTGTAGGTAGGTATGTAGGTATTCTAGATTTGATTTCTACAGCACTTCTCTTCTGTATGTAGATCGACATTCATAGGAAATCTACCTACCTACCTACCTACCTACAAATACAGTATACATACCTCTCACCTTACCTTTTTTTCCAAATGAAAAAGGCAAAGCTGGGAACAACCATCGAATCATAAACACCCTCATATTAGGAACTGTCCATATTCTTTCATACCTATAGATATATAGACTATGTATGTGTATATATTCACGTCTAGGTACCTAGGTAGGTATGGACTCATAAGCGTGTAACGTGTAAGGGCAGGTATGTATGTACGAAATGCTCTCCTATCCCACAACCATGGGCAAGGTAGAGAGGAACAAACAAACGAGAAGTATAGCTTGCCTATACTTTCACATCTTTAAACTGTATGTGCCTATTTACTTTCCATCCCTTTACTTTCCATTCACCCCCCCTTATCTTCCCAGCATCTCCCCAGCATCTCATTTCATCCCCTCACTACCCCTTTACGTTCCGAACGTATCATCACATCGCAATCTACCTCATCATCGCCAATACTTGTCTTGTTTCTCTTTTTCTTTTTCTTGTTTTTCTTTTTTTTACATTGACTTCGACGGGGTTGATTTGCTGTCTTGAAGACAGTGTACTGATGTGAGGTGAGGTAAGGTACGTCCGTTTTGGCAATGGGAATTTCTCCGAAACAAGGTCATTCATTGCCTCTTCATTTTGGTTCTGTCTCCAAGTCCCAATGCCACCCACACACATCAAGCCCTTGGCAAACTTTGCCTTTCAGACTGAATACCAGGGTAGGTCTCTCTCTCTCTAACCTCGATTAGGGCCTGTTCCCCTTGCCTTTTTGATCACAGCTTGGTATGTACCCTCCCTTTCCAAGTATGTTATAATCCTTAAATATACAAGTTACGCCAGTTATATGCCCGTCTCTAATGTTGTGTGAATTTTTTACATACGAAAAGCCGAGCACGCGACTATCAATCCTCTCGAGAACGTTCAGTCCGATGAGGCTCCGTGGAGCTTGATGGTCTGGGAGTCGACATGAGATCGGCATGGCTCGTTGGGAGCAGATTGTCTTCTACACCACTAGCGTCATCGTGGGCCAGAAGCCCTGTCTCCTCCTCATCAGAATCACTTCCCCGATCGACCTCGCTCGACGAGCCGGACTGGGCTTGGTAGCCTTTGGTGTGCACATCCAACTGGGCGTCATTGCGCATTTTGGACAATTTGATCCAGTTATATGCACCAATGGCGCAAATGGTTATAACCAAACCTGAAATGTTGATAGGTGTAAGTCTATCATCGAACACTAGCGCCGCGGCTGAGATCGTAACCACTTCCTTGAAGATGCCAGCAATGGAGAGCGTGACCACGCTACTCCGCTGTAACAGAGCAAATTCGCTAGCTGTCATCAAGAAAGCAATCGTTCCCGGGAACAGCAGGATCAATGGTGTCTTAACCACACCCCATTCGTTGCTGAGAACCCTGAGCCCCTCGATTAACTCGAAAATGCCCTCTGCGGGAATTGCGATTAGGATCAAGGTCAGAAACATGATCGGCGCCAGGAAAAAGATGCTGGAAAATGGATTCGAAGTGGCCGGGTTTCGGAGCAGGAGAATCTGGGTGAGGCCCCAACGGAAACCAGAGAAAAAGGCGGCGGCTATAACGAGGATAAACCCTCCCAGTTCAAATTCAACTTCTCCCGCGACCATCATCACGACGCCTCCTGTCATGGTGGCAATGATGGCTACCAGTTTCCACGTAGGAGTCTCGAGGCGGAAAAGAAAGGCGAATATCAGCACAAAGGCAAGGGAAGAAGATTTACACATAGCTATTGTTGATCATTAGCGTTCATTGTTCTCGCCATTTGTAGTGTAGCATTACTTACTGTAAAATGTAAGGGTGATAAACTTCAAGGATGTATTTCCTAATCCGATATCTAAGCCCGTTGCCGCACCGCAAGGGCCAATCCTCGTCAAATAAAATAATTTAGTCATGATCGGCCGCTCAGGCTCGATCTCGTGGCGCGATCTGCCTAGATCTGAGTGGTTCTGCGTGCTGCCAGGACGTAAAGAAGGTATGAAGTATAAAACTAAGCCGGCAAGCGTGAATTGCACTATCATGTGCAATGAGGTCGTGAATAGGGGAAATGCAAAGTTGAGCTGGCCTGAATCGAACATCCATTTATTATACTGCAAGTTAAGAAAACAAGGTTGTCGTTAGTCATGTTCTGATTGAATATCCTATTTTTCTTGTGGTCAAGCAAATAGGGCAGGAAGAGCAACAAGGGCAACTTACCAAAGAAATTGACAGTGAAAAGAGATACCAGAGTAGAATCAAGGTGATGTTGATAGTCAATTTCTTAACGACATTCTGGTCCGCCTCCTTTCGTTCTTCGTCCGTGATCTTGTCTCGTGCGATTCGCTGGTCTAATCTGGTGTTTCGTCGTCTCTTCGCCTGCTTCCTTCGTTTATCCTTCTTCGTCAAACCCGTCTCCTCGTCATCGTGTAAATCCTCTTCCGACATACTATCATCTTCCCGGTTATCCGACCTGGACGCGTCCCGACTATGACTCTCTTCCGATATCTTAGCCTCTAGGTCACCAGAACTCTTAATGCTGGTGGCACGTGGGCGCGAAGTTCGCGAATTGGAAGGCTGAGTAAGACTGGGATTGGTGGCGGTCAACGTACTGCGACGGCGGCGATGCCCTGTTGGAGCTATAGGATCCATCTCGATGTCTTCAGGTTGGCGACCGGCTGTGTTGGTAGTAGAAGGATTGGCACCATCTGAGGACCAGTCTGCTCTGAAGCTGGTGGTAGCAGAGGAGGCGGATGGAGGGCTGGACAAGTCGAGACTGGTAGGACTATTAACAGTGAGAGTTGTCGCGGGATACGGGTATGGATATGGATATGGCGGGGGGGAAAGAGTGGACAGGCGTCGTTGAGAAGAATGATGGTTGGACAAAGGAGAAGGCATATTTTAATAAGTCAGTTGATAATAAGATTAGATAGTGTAGCCCGTTGGGACCCGAAATGATATAAACGAATAGGACCAGAGCCACATCAAGCGTCAAGCATCATGTATGTACGAGCCCCCTAACCTAAGGTCATTAGGTAGGTTAGGTATGTACTGTATGCACTATTGCACTAGGTATGTAGGGTATGTAGGGTATGTAGGGTCAGGTCAGGGCTGGTCAGGCTGGCTAGCTGGTCAGGTCCTCCACCCTTCACACACCCCTGCCAGGGCTGCCAACAGTGCCAAGGACTGCCAGGTATTTTTATGTACTATGTAGTTAGTAGTAGTGTCGTTTTCTCAACTGCTGGAGTAATCAGTATGTATGTATGTAATAACAGAACTGCCCAGGTGGACAGAATTTACCCAATAGCGCTGAGGCCTAGTTTGGAGACTCCAAGCCTTGGGAATTTCAATGTTGACGAAAGAATATCAAGGATTGAATTGAATTGAATTGAATTGAATTGAATTGAATTGAATTGAATTAGGACAGAGTTGTTGACCCGCCGGATTTAGAGTTAGCCGTATAAATCAAGTGGGTATTATTATCATGATGGATACATTGTAAAGTTGTGCACATGTGGGTACTAGGTACTAGGTTAGGTAATTATGTATGTTATGTCCTTGTTGTGCTTGCTTTACCTTGCTTTTAAGATCAATTCAATCCATTGATGCTTCCAGACTGAAGTTCCAGTTGCTCATCTCTTAAACCCTGCAGACCCTGTTTTAGTAGGTATGTGCATTGTGCAGTACCTACCGTACCTACCCTGGTTCTTAAGCCCAATGTTCAGTCACCAGTGTTCTCCAGACCCCTGCCCCTACCCCATACGTAGTATTCTCCAAGCAGCACATGTGCAGTTGCTGCATGTGGTGAATGACACTACCGAAAGTGTATGTATTGTACAAAGTACCAAGGTAGTTACCTGGGAAGCTGTTCATTCAGCCCTAGCACCTATGTATGTAACTATTGTACAGTAGTTACATGTCTTGGTTGCTTCGTTCATTCATTGAAGAACAACATTGACAAAATATCGCCGTATTCCTGAACCAATAACCTAAATGGATCCCGCCATCGTCCCAGAAAAACATTCATGTTATTTTATTTAGTTCCCCGATAATACATCCGATGGCTTTGAGTCAATGTTCCTATACGCGGATATTGAAATACCTTAGTTAGGTACTTCAAGTTCGTATGGATGTTAATACTACTAGTAGTAGAAAAAGGCTTCAACATCTAACATCCCACCTACATATGTACCTACATTGTTCCTGCCTTACCTACCGCATGTAGGTAAATACATACCTGCAAGCAAAAGAGTTGAATTGGCCAGTACTTGAATACGGGGCAAAGCAAAGCGGCAATTTTTAGATTCGATTCCACATTGCCGGCCTTAGCATGTGCATCTCAGGGGTTCCTTTTTTACATACATATTCACCACCAAACTCTAGGATCCCGTATTCCGGAACAAAAACATCCATTACTATGTACTAGTAGTACCCAAAGGTATAATCTTAGGTAAAGTACTACTAATAGTACATAGGTTAAGGGGAAAACACGGCCACTTAATGGAAGCTTACATCCTTTTACATGCCACCTTCGAGGCCAGTCGAGACTCAAGTCGTCTATGTACACATGAACTCTTGAGTAATTCAATTCCACTCGCGCGTTATCGGTCTGAGTCCTGACTAGGGTGCAGGCCATCTGGATCACGGACTTGACTCTTGGTATGTAGATGATACATAGTGTATAGGTCCTGCTATAGGTCCAAGTCCAAGTCCAAGTCCATACATCCATAATTCACAGGCAAATGTTTTGGATAAGCAATCGAGCCTCATGGGCAGGTTTCGGATCTGGGCTCCCAATGCATCATCAGCCAAACCCCCATGCCGAATTCCCGGTTCTGGCCCAGGCCCAGCGCAGCGGGTCGTCCCGAAGAGTACAAGAAGCGCAACGAATCCACCGACCTCGAGTCCCGACTGCATCCTCTATTTGATGAGTGTTGGGTCGATAGCCGATAGCTTCCAAGCGGTTCCGTCGAAGCTTTACAAACCGGAATACCAAGCAACATTCGACCGTCGAAGTGCAATCTAGGAGACTACCACAATCCCACAATCGCAGCTAGTCAATAAGTAAACAATTAGGTAACCATCTATGTAGTTAGTGGAGCTTCATATCCGCAACGCATAGCACGAGGCTAGCTTCCGCAACATTCAAGGCGTGAGTCGGAAGCTGGCCTCTAGTGCTAGACCGTAAGCCCCGGACATTAATTGACTCTCACATCCTCACATCCTCGCACTCACCTACATACGCCACTCGGCACGTGGACATATCACCGACCTACCAGCCAGCCTACCAAGTTAACCATGATCGATCGACCTCTCTCCGAACTAACCTTAACAACTTAGTGGCATAGCATCCATCGATCTATCTCATGGGCCTAGGCTAGTCGATTAATAAAGGGAACCACCGGTTTTGCAATTACTACTCTCTTCATCTCCATGAGCTCCATCTGCTCCCCAGTTCATTTGTGTAACCCCAAGAAACCGCGTAGTCTTGCCCCGTCTTAGAACTAACGAGAAACAAGAAGAACTTATTTCCCCCCCTCTTCTTTCATCGATGGATATGATGCCTTGCTAGATTGACGTCAACAAGTGCTATAGTTATCTTGAAATGCTAGTTATCTGCTCAGGTATATGTAGGCGCATAAAAAGTACTACGCAAGTGGCTGCTTACCTACAGTATATCAACTCCCACCCCTTCCTACCTACCTATGTACATACCACTCCCAAAGCATTATCAGATATAAAATATCACTACTACTTCCGACGTCCCACATAGGTTCATAGCTAACCTAGGTATGTATGTAATAAATCGCAAAACATAGTTAACAGAACATCGCACATCCCCCTCTTTCCCCCCCTCCACTTAGTCCATCCCATCCCCAACATTAGCATTAGCATTAGCATCAGGCCAGCGAAGATCACTCACATACACACATAGTTAGTTAACCAAAAGAAAAGAAAGAACAAAAGGTAGGTATCCTAATAGTTAGATTCTGGGTTAGCTTAGTGTAAAAGCGACCTGCATATATGTGACCCAGCAGCTACACTAGCTTTGACCTCCCCCTCTCTCACCGTTAGAGAATGAATAACTTACCTTGTGGGGAAGATGAGTTGAATGAACAGCCAACTAACCTAACCTACATACTTCCATACTTCCATATAACTAACTACATACACAATGCAGCCTGGCGCCGGCACCGTAGTAGGCAGTCAACTTAGCCCACGCATCCATAGGCACACACACACAATTATATACATATAGGTCTAAACCTACCTACCTCCATCAGTTGAACTCGCCAGCATTCCATTAGCAGACCACATACACACACACCTACCTGCCTAACCGTAGTCACTAGCCACCTACCCTACCACTAGCACATAAGCAAGAAAGAAGTCCCCCAAGTGGACACCAAAAAAAAAATCCGGGGTTAAACATTGCCTACCTAACCTAGCCATGCCGATCCCACGCACCTACGCACCTCTTAATCCGCCGTCCAGATATCTATCTATCTAACCTATACCGGTTTTTGTTCGTCCTACCAGCTAACTTACTTACTTACCCTGGTACCTACATAACATTATATAGACCCTTGTTAATTACTATGTAACTAGTTATTTCCCACAATTACATAATTATCAATTCAAATTCACAGATCTCGATGAGGAGAACAGCACTACTATGCATCGTGCCCCTAGATATGCACCTTGGTAGGTAGGTAGGTAGGTAGGGTATGTATAGGTATGTGTTGTAGGTAGTGTAGTAATCTAATCTAGGTACCTAAGGAAGATCCTGACTTATATCGTGGCTAGGTAGGTAAATAGTAAACGGGCCAAAGTCAGGGGGGGTTGGGGGGAAGAAACGCATCTCATCTCATCGTATCGTCTCCAAAGAAAAACTAAATTACAAACCTCATATCTCAATCGTTGTGATACTGGAGGCAATACCTATATGGCCTATACATAGCATCCGCAATAGTCGAATGCAGGCCACTAGTGAGAAAACAAACGACACGCATGATTCAATCGATGAATGTCAATCGATGAATGTCCAAATGTGAAGGTCCCCCTTTGCAGTCATTCCTCGCCTCGGACCCAATCTAGTCCGATGGCAGTTGTTCATATCAATACCATCTCGTGAGAGCATCTTCGATCTTTTTATCTGGATCCGTGCAATTTGAGTCGAGGTCAGCCTCGTTAGCTAATGACCTGCTCACCAATGATAGTCTTCAACTTCTCAGATGCAACCGGAACGCCGTGCCAATGCAAACGCATCATACCCACCAGCTCTTCTCATTCCTTATCCTCAAAAAGTAACACCGAGTAGAAAAATCATCTCCAAAATCATCGTAAGGTGTCGTAGCAAGGGAAAAATCGTGACGGGATCGGAGATCACGTGTGCGTCATAGGAGCAGATAACTTCTTACTTGAAGAGGCTACGCAGATCCATGAGCTTCTGTTTTGCTGCCTCCGCCTTGTCCATCACCCGATCTCGGTCCATACTCAAGCTTGCAAGCTTTCTCTTCTTGTCCTGGAGCTCAATCATCTTCTCTTCAATGCTGTTCCGCATGATATATCTGACTGTGCGGACCGGTCTCTTTTGGCCAAGTCGGTGTACACGGTCGACGGCCTGGGCTTCTGCCGCTGGATTGTACTGGGGCTCCATCACATATACAAAGTTTCCGGAGGTAAGGTTGAGACCTAGACCACCAGCATTGATCGAGACCAATATGACATGTACAGAGTTGTCCTCTCGGAAAGCATCCATAGAGGCAGTTCTAGCAGGGCGGCTCATGCTGCCATCAAGTCGAGTATACTTGATTCCGACATTGTCCAACGCGATTTGGATTAGATCAAGATGAGTTGTCCAGGCAGAGAAGACCACAGATTTGAAGGGGGGTTCATCAGGTTGGGCTTCGCTGTCGGCTTCTGACTTCAGGAGGTCTGCAACCAGAGCGCGGGTCTTCGTATGAGGGCCAGTATATCCGGAATAGTCATCTTTCGCCTTGCTCTTGCCTTCAGGCTTACGTGGGTGATTGCGTCCTTCATGTTCTACATCCGCTCGACTTTTCCGGATTTCGTTGTAGGTAAAGCGGACATGGCATTGACACACGGGACATGTGCCCGAGCCGCGTTCCCCCACTTCTTCTTTCCAGGTCGAGATGCAACTAGTACAGAGAAGATGAAAGCAAGCAGTCATATAACCGAGGACATCCTCTTCACGCTCCGAGGCAATATCTGCAGCATCGTTTGAGCCAACTCTTCTTTGGCATGAAAAGCATAGGTCGCTGTTGGTCTCTTGCATTAGATCAAAGGCGCGGTATGCCCTTGACTCTGCCAGGGCAGGTTTCTCGTCGTCTTCGTCACTATCAAGGTCGATAGCAGACTCTTGGGTCAGGCCCTGTACCGCTTCTAGGTCTTCTTCATTGAGGAGATCCCTGCCATGTGCAGAAATCTGGCGAAGCCTAAGGATAGATTGGAGAATATGAATGTAGGTTTTGCCACCAATCATCTTCTCTCTACCTCCTGACAATACCTGCACTTTATCTTCCGCGTTCTTCTCAAACAGGTTGTAAAGCTTTTGTTCAGAAGGAGAAAAGTCAAGCCGGACGACCTGGTCCGTTCTGGGGGGAAGATTAATCTTGTCTTTCAGACGTCGAAGAGTAACACTATCCACGAGGATACGAAGCTTGGGGACAATCTCTGGGTCACAGACTTTGAATGGGGTCGTGATGTACTGTGTAAACTTGCTCTTATCATCAAACGGCTTTAGGCGGAGGAAAGCAAGCAACGCTGCAAGGTCATCCAATTTGTTTTGCACGGGAGTGCCTGTGACCGCCCAGCGACGTTGAGCTTGTAGGCGGCAGATAGCCTTGAATTGCAACGTCGATTGCTCTCGTATCATATGAGCCTCATCGAGGACTACACGAAACCATCCTACCTCTTCCAGAGGGTACGGGCCGGGTCTACCCTTGTTTCGAGCTTGAACCTCACTTGAGACAGAGCCGTAGGTCGTTAGAACAATGTCGTACTCAGCCAATCTCCTGGGATCTTTGATGCGGTTAGATCCATGGTAGATGTAGTATGTCAGCTGTCCAGCCTTGACGTGAGCTTTGATCTGCTCCTCCCAGTTAGTTATCGTGCTGAGGGGGCATATCAAGAGCGTTGCTTTGCCATTCTGCTTCAAAGGAGTCAAAGCAAGGGGCTCGGGTGTAGGGACGTTGAAATGTCCCGACGAGCTCCCTTTCTTTTTAGGTATAGGAGGGGCTTGTGGTTGAACAGGAGCAAGACGTGACCACTCTACTGCCTCGTCCAAAGAGCTAGCAACAAGAGATAGGATGCTCAAGGTTTTTCCTAATCCCATCATATCCGCCAGAATGCCACCAAGTGATTCAGGGGGAGCCTCACGTTGCGGCAGCCCCGTGATTACGTTGTAGTATGTCTTCTGGCCGTTGTTTCCTAGACGGAGTTGCCAGAAAGAATCAGCAGCTTTGCCATCATCACCATACTGGCGGGGCTTCTCCTTATTTCTCATAAAGAAGAGACCCTGCTTCTGGTGCCTCAACAACTCCGTTGTAATTCGGGCATCCGGTTCCATCTCAGGAAGCTCTTCGCTCTTCGTGAGTGAGTCAAAGACTCCGAAGACTTCAGAACGCACTTCTTCGACACTACGCATCATGGGGGGTGCAATCATAGCAGGGGCTGTCCTATACTGATCTTTGACAATGACTGGTGGCTTGGGTCCCTCCACGAGTTGTGGATTTTCATATTTGATACCAGGGTCGACCCTTGGTGGATTACGAAGCCAAATATTCTTATGAGAGAGGTGTCTAGCAACAGCTTTCCCGCTCTTTCGAGGACCGTAGAGCATCAGATCTAGGGTGTAACTTCGTGAAGTCGGCTGCCCAGCTTCCTCTCCTTGTAAAACTTGTCTTGTAGGAATTCTACAGTCGGTTCGAAGTTGTAGGCGAGAATCAAGTAGCGCCGCAAGGCCAGAAGATGTGGCAGGATCGACGGCCCCGACTATTTTGCGCGTATAATCGTAGGCAAGAATGGTATTAGCTGCCTCGCCGAGCTTTCGCCTGAGGACTATCTTGACTTGGGGCCAATAACTTGGCATAAGAGCAATAGCGCCGGGTTTAGGACTCGGAACCATATGGCAATTTAGTCTTGCGTGCTGGATCATGCCATAACAAACTTCCTCCTCTTTCGGTGCTTGTAGCAGCACGACATCGTTCTCTTCCACTGTCAGGCATTAAGTATTAGTACGGGAATCAACCAAGGCCATACAAATAGCAAATGACCCACCACCATCAGTGAGATCAACAGCTTCAACACGCCTGGTTGGTAGTTGTTGGTTAGTTGCCTCTCGTCTCTTCTCATTGACATAATGCCCGATGTCCCCGCTACCTCCACCCCCAAAAGAGCCCACAGAGCTCATGCTATCTTCCGATTCAAGCTTGCGACGTTTTAATTGGGGCGCAAACGTTCGCTGTTCGACATTGTTCATCCGATCGATCATATTATTGAAGTTGTTGGAGTTTGGCATAGTGTAGCCATTGGACTGGACTGGATGGCCGTTGGCAGTAAAGCTGTCTTGCGGGTTAGAGAACTGGAACTGGACTTCGGGCGAGTTGCTCGAGCCGTTGAAAGACCGGTTGATACCATTATGGGGAGCGGTCGGGACGGGGGATTGGGATTGGGATGGGCCGGCATAGCCCTTTGGATTAAGAAGGAGCGCGGGGTTCAAGTTAAGTCTCGAGGATCCGTTGTGAATCGGACCTGAACCCAGATATATAATGTCAGTACCATTATCTGATTTATGTTTAATTGCACGAGGAGTTGTGCTCAGACTTCTGGTTGGCAATGCCGTGGGTTGGGTAAGACTGTGAGGAAAAGATGTGAAGGGGAGGCTGTCGCTATTACCCTGCGAGCGGTTATCGGAGTCCATCTTGTCTACCTTTCTTCCTTCCAGCCCTATTCACCACAGACCAAGCGCAGCCGCATACAGTGGAAATAGGTGTTTTGTCGGAATCTTCACTAGGATAGTTAAAGGTTCGTAACAAAGCGGAGCGCACGGCGAGTAGAGTTTTTTGCGCCGGTGGGGGTGGGCATCGGCAAGGCTACCATCAATGGTATTAAGGAAAATATAAGAAAAAAAAAAGTAGGCGGCGTTAATGAGGGTATGTATAGGAAGGGTAAGAAAGTGGTCAGGTAGGCAGACGTGGGCGGGAGGGCTGAAGAATAAAGAAGCACCGAGCTAGGTAGCCTGAGGCAAGGTTCACAGACTACTTGACCAGGTAACTCGTGAAAAAGAAAAACAAGAAAAAAAAGGTATGAAAATGAATAGAGAAAAAAATCTCAAATCTCGAAGTTGTCACAAGGACATGTTAGATGCCTTGTATGAATGTGTTATGTAGTATGTAGGGTGAGATACTTAGACTATGTAGGTCAAAGTTAAGTGGATGTGACAATCAACCCTAGCCTTCTAGCCTTCGAAATTAGCGGATATTGAATATTATTGGCTACAGAGTTTTGGTAGGTTGTGTTAACTAGGAACCTTTCGGGATTGATGCATTAGGTCGAAGTCAGGAAGTTGACTAGACGTACCTTGATATCAATAATCTATCCCCTAGGACCCCTACCCACATGTACTGTTGCTACTGTATGGAGGGGCTGACGGCTGTTAATACACATGTATTAACGTTGGAATTTAAATGTTAAATTGTATGCTACTATGCACCCTCCCTCTTTGTTACTGCCGCACGAAATTATGTAATACCTTGATGACGCATTTGCAAGCAGATTAATTATTTACGCCGGACATTCTAATTCAAAATACATTTATACATGGTGTAAACAGTATATATCTATTGGAAGTAAATTGTTATATTTACATAGATAAGGTCAACACAAGTATGAGTATGTTGGCAGTAGAGGGAATTTGAGGTATAACTAATGTTCTGTGAAAATTTTGAGAAAAAAAAACCAAAGTGTAAAAAAGGAAACTGTACTAGTTGGTAGGCATTCGATGTTGCACATACTCGACACTGCCTGCCTGATGCATCGCAAATCAGAACTGATAGCGATAAATGTTTGATTGGTCTGCTGACCAGCTGAGAGGGCCACCTTCAAGTTTCAACCCTTTGTCTTTTTTCTACTTTCTGTACTTCCCAAGGCCACGTGCCCCGCAGATCTGAGGGACCCAGTTAAGCTGATGCAGATGCAAGCATTGTTGGGCTGCGCAAGACTCCGTGGGGTGGTCTTGGCAGCCTGCCCACAACTAAAGTAAGTCCAGCCTGCCTACCAGGTGCTACTGTACAGTCTGTACTGTTCTGTACTAGGTAGGTACAATACCCTACAATACCCTACCTATCTACTCTTCTCCACCGGCTTTTTAAAGGTCTTGACTTGATGGCATTCACCAAAATCCTACCTTGTATTACCTACATATGCTGTAGTAATAGTAACCAAGGCAATATCATGCACATGACTGTCCATACATAACATGACAGCCTACCAAGGTAAATAGGTATACATGACTTATAACATAACTCCAGAAATGGTCCCTATTGCCTTGATTTTCCGTCTCGTTCGCTTCGGACAAGATATTGGATATGCTTCCAACAAACAACTGACTCAAAATATCAGGCAAGTTATGAATATTTCCCAATCCCTGCTTTGCCCTGCCCTGCCCTTCCCTTATCTTTTTGTACCTATCCTTGAAAACAAACGCCGATATCATTTCATCTCATCTTTAGTCTTAACATTATCGCTGTGAGTCAGCTGCGTGCTGATGCCTTGCCTCGTTGTACAAGTTTAGTCAACACTCGTAATCTAACACCATGTCATCCCATTCCCCTTGTGTCACGTCTATCCCCGACGAAGACATCGTTGGGTCTGAGTCACCTAATCGCTCAGAAGAGTCGAACCTCATCAGCCATCCTGTTTCGAATTTTGAGAAGGACCGTCGTTCCTGATCACTATCTCGTGGCGGAGAAATGAAGTTATAATGGGCTCACCCAAGCTTTTTGTTGAATCACCTTCGTGGTTCCGGCTTCGACTTTGCGTCCTTTGCCGCCTTCGCTTTGATGACTCTTGTCCGTTTGGCGAACGAGATCTAGAAGGCGATTGACTTCGATGGCGGTTTAGCTGAACAACACGAATAACTCTTCTGCGGGTGGGAGACAAGGATCCGCCCCTGAGTCGCGATGTGGCTCGAGAGGTATCAATCCTCGATGTCGAGCGATGTCGACATCGTCCACGAAAAGTGGCAGATTCTGCCGACGGGATTCGAGTCGCGGTAACTGCCAAAGCTCCTCCTGGTGGGCTACGTCCTCGCTTTCTTCCACGTTGGCTCTCGGGCTCAGGTGACGAAAAGGTCGTGATGGTGATGTCGATGAAGCTTTCGTTCTCTGCTGCTTGTGTGGCCATTTCGAATCCGACGTCAACTGTCTTGGGTGGCTGTGTACACTGTGCTTCGCTTAAGGTCAATCACCCAGTTGTGCCGGTTTTCCAGAATGGAGAGGAATGGAGAGAGGCAAGTCTTGGATCAGATATAGCTGATAGCTGATCGAGGCGTGTCTGGAATAATGATGTGGGCTGTGAAGTGGGTTGGGGGATCAGCAGAAAGATTACAACAACAGGCTTGTCACCGTTAAATCAAACACGGTCTAGTATAGTCGTATGTTGGATTCTTGGGAATAAGGGGAGGGAGAGGGCAGGCAGTGGATGGGCAATGAGGAATTGGGAATAAATAGTGTTAATAAGAGATAATCTTGGAATTAAGCTGGTTCACATCGGCACGCGAGGATACCCCCAAGGTGGAAACAGGACAAGAGATCAACGAGACTTATCCGCCTAAGTTACAAGAACCAAATAGCAGGGTTGGGATCGACGTTCACTCCTGGGATCTTTGAATCAGAAGCGTCTTGGATTGGTGCATCTCTAGACCAATGGATCAAATACGATTGGCCAACGAGCTAGTGCAATTGACGTAAACTTTGTGTTGAGGTATTGAGAGTCTTGAGAGTGCTAGGCAGCTAGTATGGTATGTAGCTGCTAAGATACTTACCTGGTAGGCTGGTAACCTCAGTGGGAAGCTTATTTGTTGTGGTGGAGTGGACACAGCAGTTGGAACCTCTGTCTCCTCCCTTTATTGAAAAGGGAAAATGTCCCAGCTCAGACTATGTATGTTGGATGCTCGTCTTAGATGGTTCGATATGTATGTGTGTGTATGTGTGTGTGTGTGTGTGTGTGCGAGCATAAGTATAATAGAGTAGTATGTAGGCAAGTACAACTTGGGCTGCAGATGACTCGGGTAGCTCAGCCTATTGCAACGCAGGCGAATTGGGATTATGTAGGGGATCGCGTGATGGGAGGTTCATTGGTAGCAATGAAGTGATGATCCGCCCGACTTCAGCTTAAATGATTCGAGGAGGTGATTCCGTGCAGTACCGGACCGTAGGTGTGAGGTACTCAAGTTAGGTATGTCGTAATAATATATTGATACAACAAGCTGTATATTGATATGTATATTGATATATTTGTTGCCGTCTTCCCATTGATGAATTGGCTATACCAACAAGTTTATGAATCTGTCTAACTACGTAACCCGTGCAACGGCATCAGCTATACGTGGTTAAGGTGACGGAATTGTAGCGGAAGAGTCCGACAGGCGGGGTCGATGGTATTCTTGAGGCTTACTTCAAAGAGCTCTAGACCAACGGTAGCCAAGGTAAGCCAAGGTAAGGTAAAAGGCACGGTGTTGGGTCCGAGGTTCTTTCGAAAGGGGTAGAGGGGGCAGGTATGAGAATTTCGATATGTGTAATCCGATGTCCCTCCCTTTGGTATTTTATTTATTGAATATTGAATTTCTAAAGGTACAGTAGTCCTGCTGCTCTGGAGGCAAGTGCCTATCTCAGTACCTAACTAACCAGTTAAATGGTAGACAAGTAGTTAACTACTTGGGGTATGTATTTGCCGACATCGACTCATATCTTTCAATTAATGTTATGTACCTACAAGTAATCATCAACTCTGGAGATAAAATACGTATTGCAACTCATGTATATATGCAGGTACACATATATATGTATATACAAGAAGCAGGTAAAGCTGTTACAATTACAGATATGCAGATATACGGATGCAAGATGCAGGCATATGGGGCCGTAAGTGGAGACGTTCTACGACTTGCATCTGTAGCTCCGTTCCAGAGTTCCATCAGTTCCATAATTTCCCTTAACCTTATGTAAGTCGCCTAAGCAAGCAACATCAACTCTCTACAACGTAATTAGTTAATACATAACTAACTACAACTACACTAAGGTTAGTACATAGTATCCAACCATCCATCGACGTGACATTCATCTACGTGACGTGTTTCAACTTCTTCAGCTACAATTACGACTGGCTCACCCAAACATCACATCACCAAGAAAATAAGAAGAAGCAGAAAGGAAAAAAGAAAAAAAACCAAAAAATAGCAGAAAAAGAAGGGGAAAAAAAGGGCCCATCTCTTCTTCTTTCTGTTTTGTGTACTAACCAATTATTTATTCTTCTAGTCCCTCTTTTTCCAAGGAGATACAAAAGAGATACAAAAGAGATACGCACTATACCAGCCCAGCCCCAATGTTCTCCGTTGGAAATCTATTCTGTATTGGCTAATTGTTGATAATACGAGGGAACAAGGGGGGTCGAGGCCAAACCAGCATCAACAACTTCCGTTTTATTGTTTTTATTGTCATCTTTGGTACAGAATAGTTCTTGAATGGTAGCTTTTTGTCATAGAATGGAATGACCTCGAAATCAGATCATTGAACCTCCCCACACCCACTACATCCATCACATCCGTTATATTTATCACTGCCAGCATGCCTCGAAGTCGGCCAGCTACCACGGGCTATGAACGCCTGGCACAGGCCGACCAGTTCAGCGACGAGTCCGACGAAGATGTTTTAGCCCAAAGCTTCGCATCCCTTCAACCTCAATCCGCACCACGCTTTGCATCTAACACCCAACCGAGGCCTCACTCAGGCATGGCTTCCCCTAAGCCCGCTGCGCAGCCTAAATACCGGCCGAAGCGAATGCGAAGCAATTCCGGTGTCGACCTGAAGGCCATCAACGCCCGTTTAGAACGATGGGCTGACGAGATTGCTTCCAAGTTCAAAAGGGGGAAGGGAAGAGGAAGTCCGGGTGAGGAGGAACGTCTCGAGATCCATTATAGCGTTTTCCAACCCCCCGAAGGCGTACGACCCGCCACCGCCGAGACTCTTGCCGCTTTACCTGAACCTGCCATGTCCAGGGATGAATTCGAAGCTATAGTGGAGAGCGTGCGTGTTGCTATTGATCAAGGCATGCATCCGAGCATGATTACCCAAGGGAGCTCGGGGAGTTATTTCGCACGGAATACCGATGGTAAAATAGTCGGTGTGTTTAAACCAAAAGATGAGGAGCCCTATGCAGCAGGAAATCCAAAGTGGAACAAATGGATTCACCGAAATCTGTTCCCCTGCTGTTTTGGCCGCGCATGGTAAGTGTCCTTCCCAGGTGTCTTTCTTAAGTGCCGTGCATGGGGTAGACAAAGATTCTGACTCCCCTCCAGTTTGATTCCTAATCTCTCGTACGTGAGCGAGGCGGCGGCGTACGTCCTCGACCGCCAACTCCGTACCCACATCGTCCCCTACACCGACGTCATTTACCTGTCGTCCAAATCATTCCACTACCCCTATTGGGATCGCCGGAGCTTTTATAGAAAAAAGAAGCCTCTCCCCGAGAAACCGGGGAGTTTTCAGGTTTTTCTCAAGGGGTTCAAGGATGCTAATGTGTTCTTGAGAGAACATCCTTGGCCTGACCAGTACTGGTCCAGCTTCCGTTCAAACGACACTCACAGGCACAAACAGAAGAAATGGGCTGATAGCTGCCGCCCGTCCACTAGGAATACACGCGCAGATGATAGTGAAAGTGAAGATGAACAAACTACCGCGGGACAACGGCCTCTTGGGCCGGATAATTTCATGTGGACCGAGTCGTTAAAACAGGCATTCCGGGAACAGCTCGAGAAGCTCGTAATATTGGACTACATTATGCGGAATACCGATAGAGGTCTTGACAACTGGATGGTCAAAGTTGACTGGCAAACTCAAGAAGTCTCCATTGCTTCTGAGCCCCCACAGCTTAATTTGGACATGCCGGACGAAGATAACGAGCAGCCTCCAAGGCCCGTAGATATATCAATGAGGAACAAGTCTAGGAGTCCTAATCCTTATAAGGCGCAAAAGCCTATGAACGCGGCTCGTACGAGTAAGGTCCCCGATCCTAAGATATCGCTCGGAGCAATCGATAATTCTCTGTCATGGCCATGGAAGCATCCAGATGCGTGGCGAAGGTATTTCCATCCTTACCTGGGAACGCTACTCTGTGGAAAGTGACGCTAACTGCTGACAGCTTTCCGTTTGGTTGGTTATTTCTACCCGTTGATCTCATCGGACGACCATTCTCCCAGAAAACCCGGGATCACTTCCTCCCACTCCTCACATCTACTCAGTGGTGGAGCCAAACTTCTCTGGAGCTACGGAAGGTATTCCAGATTGACCCCGATTTCCAAGAGAAGATGTTCTCCCGTCAAATGGCGGTAATGAAGGGTCAAGCTTGGAACGTGGTTGAGACGCTTAAAACCCCAGATCATGGTCCGTTAGAGCTTACAAGGCGTGCCAGGGTATGTGTATGGGATGATCTGGTAGAGGTGCCCGTGGCCGTACCCATGCGCGTCACATCGTCTGAGATGCGCCGCAAGGCGGAGCAAGAGGTCCACAGCGCCATCGAGGAGGAGATGGATATCGGTGCGGCCAACTCGTCCTCAGCACCTGCCCAACGCGTGGATGATCTCCTTGGCTTTTCTAGTCCCTTACCGAATCCTGGACGCTTCGAACTAGCTAGCTCCCACGAGCAGTCACCAGATCGGACCGAACCGGCTTCTGCAGACTACACGCCCAATGGCGTAGCTCAAAATCCCTTCGATGTCCTGTCGGCAACGGAGTCGCCCAACGCTTCACGTCCAAAAGGGTCTCGTGGCCCGAGGTCGAGCTACCAGGGTCCGGCGCGATCCCAGATCAGTATGTATGCACCACATAAGGAGCGCAGGTACTCGTTCGCGACGGGTGTGACCAACTCACGAAATAACAACTCGATCGCCGCCAAGTTATATGGCAATGGCTACGACGATGAGGAGGATGACATGGAGGGGGACCTAGGTTACGCGGCGGCGGAGACGATGGACGGGAATAGACGGAAGGTAATTGTGGAGCGGCTAGAGACCGTCAAGGCTAGAAATCCCGTGTTCACTTGGTGCTAAAGGCCTAGGATAACGAATAAGAACGAGGCCTGTGAGGAGAGAAATCCTCTCACGAATGTACGACGCCTGCGCTGCTCAACATGCATACCTATACTCGGCTCCTCCCGGCGCCTTATTAGGTACCTACCTACCTTGAGCAGAATAATGATCGCGTACGCTACGAAGTTAATAGAAAGACGACCTGGTTTTTTGAGTTTTTTTTTGGTCCGCTTGTTTGCTTTTTGGAACATTGAATTGCATAGCCTAAGGGTAGAAGGAACACTAGGACCGGTTACCATTGAAGTGTACAACACAGAAAGAAAAAGACAGTCATAATAATTACGATACATACAACTTACCTACTTGCTGGGTAGCAAAAACATGGCATTGTGTGACCTGGAATCTAGGTATGAATCTATGCTACGCACGTACACTCACTTAAGGTTACCTACTTGCCTGCCTACCTACCTACCTACCAACTTACGTGCCCGCTAAACTCACTTGCGTGATAGCAACATAGGTATATCGCAACTACATACCTGTGTAGTTCTACGTAGAATTTGGATTCTGGGTTCCTAGTACCAGAGGGGGGTTAAGTAGGTTAGGATCCTAGAATCTGGGGTTGCGATATTGTGTGATAGGCACTTTCAATAAACCACCTAGGTACCTACCTACCTACCTACCTATCCAGCAGTCACATCCATGTTTTAATAAACCAGGTAGATATTGTTATTCATAGGGATAGGTAGCAAGAACGATCTGGCAGATGTGGATGAGGTTTTCATGTGGAGGATCTTTGTAGATATATAGGTAGGTAGGTAGGTACATGTATGTAGGCTTTCTTGCCCACCTAACCTACCTACCTTACCTACATAGGTGTGTCTACCTGCTTACATAATTACATAGGTTGCTCATTGGCTCGCCTATACACTCACTGTACCTATCTAGCGTACCTATGTAGATATCTACCTAGCTTAGCTTAGCTTAGGTTACTCTGTGTTATAACTATCATTCGCTGCCTAGTTGGTTGGTTAGTTAGTTAGTTGGTTATATACCAAGCTTTGGCATTAGGCGTGGCATGTATTGTACATAAGAGACAAGGAGGGAGTATGCGTAAGTTAGGCAGGTAGGTAGGTAGGTAGGTAGGTAGGTGGTTTATAGATCGGTAATACCTACCTACCTAACCTACTTAACTAACCTAGTTAGATATGTAAGTACATAGTGTATAAGTAGGTAGGTTATCTATCTATCTATCTACCTACATACCATCACTCGATACCGAAGCCGAGAATTGTGGAAAGCACGTAACCTACCTACCTACCTACCTAGTTACATAGGAGGGAAAAGTCGAAATAAACTAGGGAACTAGCTAATTAGGTACCTAGGTAGTGTTGAAGGGAAAGGAAGGGAGGAAGGAAGGAAGAGAAGAGGAAGAAAAAAATTTGTTCACGATGTAGGTATGTAGTTAGTACCTATGTATCATCATGGATGGGGTCTCAATCGTCAATGGCATGAATCGATGAAAGAAAGAAAGAAAGAATAAATGAATGAATGAATGGACGCGGATGTACGGTAGTAATGTGTGGATGTGGATGTGAGGATGTACATATGTTTTAGTTTAGGTATAGCTAATAGTTAGTTGGATAGTTGGAGGAAGCGGGTTATGAACTGATATTTCAAGACCGATGTGGTAATCGGAAACCAATGGGTATTAGTTGGTATATACTTTATGCATCATGTATTGTACAATACAATACGTTATAGTATCATACCTAGTAGGTACTGTAGGTACGCTATTAGTTTACATGATGCAGGCAGGGGACTTCTCCATAGTATGTATGTTATACTACCTATGTATTGTACATACATACCTATAGACCTAAGATACTACTATATATAGTGTATAGTGTATTGACCCAGGTAGCATAGTATGGATATATTATATGTATCGTAGATATAGGTGTAGATGTATACCTACCTACATAGACCTACATACCGTAAGTATGCATGATGATGGGTACTATGTAGGTAGGTAAGTAGGTAGGTAGGTCGGTATGTAGGCATGGGTTCGTTAGCATGAGCGGACATGATCTCGAACTTGTTCTTACATGGCATGGCATGGTACATGTACCTACCTACCTACATAACTAGCCCGTGCCGTTGTTTCAATGCTGTAAATCAGTACCGATGTAGTGCATGATATCTATGGATGTATGCTTGCGGCTACAAAACCTTTACCACACATGTGCATGAAATCCTACATACATTTATAGTAGGTATGTATGTACTGTATGTTCATACACACACATAAGACATACATACCTTGCCTTACCTTAGCTACGCAGTGCACATGTGGTATAAATAATCAATTAATTAAACGTAATCAAGAAAAAAAGCCCCCGAAACTTCCAAGAGGTATACAGAATCCCTGCTTACTATGTAAGAAACGAATAGTCTAAAGCACATAAGTCTAACCTAGCCTTAGGTAGGTAGGTAGGTAAGTAAGTAGGCAAGGTAACCATAAGCTGTGAATAAACGAAACAAAACGAAACGAGACCAAAGAAAAAAAAGAAAAGATATATAATAAGAAAATCTTCAATATACCAACCTACCTCACTTACCTATGTAACGGAGGTCGTAAGTATTAAGTTAAGAACGGGAGATAGCCATCAACGTTCCAAGGGACGGGAAAAGCCAAGGGTTTTTGATTTGCGGTAGTGTAAGTCAGTCACCTTAGCGAGAAGGAAGGAAGAAAAGAAGAAGAAAAAAATGATATGTGACCTGTCACATATCACTTACGCATCTCTATGCATATCCATAGCTTTATTTTATTTTGGAATGACGACCCCCCAGTACCAAGTTAAGAGCCCTGTCTAGAGACGAAGAAAGAGACCAGAAGAAAAAAAAAGGGGGGCCACGTCAAAAAAGCCCACCTTCATTGATTTTCCCAAGCCCGAGGCCGCGGACGGCCCGCGATTGGGGGTCTGTCCGAAAGACACGCCGTCAAGCCAAACCTGCGACCTTGCATCGCCTTGCCTTGTCTTGCCTTGCCCGACACATCTAGGATACCGCACACTACATCATAATACCTACCATATGTCCTTTTTCTTTCCTTCCTTCCTTTGCCCTCTTTCAATCTTCATTTCGTATAACATCACTTACCCCTACCTCGCCTACGTCAGCGTGCTGCTGCTGCTGCTGCTGACAAGGCCCACTGTCATGTCATTGATACACCGAGAAAGAGAGATGCAAAGTTTCGTAGGGACGAAGGGGGTCCGAATATGAAAGAGGGAGGCGAGAGGGAAAAAAGAGGGAAAAGATCAAGACAAATCTTGATGCATCAGAACATGGCGCGCGCATTTTGGGGGCCTTAGAAGAACAGCTCATGTCTGCATATCCGGGATTACTACGCTGTTTTGTCACCCTACAATACGCACCAAACCTCTCCTTCTTTACTCGGTACGGTATCGAACTCGCGCATTATGAGGTCGACGTCGATACCGCTTACCCCGCGGGATCAGGACAAGACCCAAACGTGCGGCCTATATCATACGTTGTTGTGCTTGTACAATCCTCTGGCTAGCCGAATGTGCTAGGTCAGGTAGGTAGCATGGCGCGCTTCTCGGCAAAATCTGAATTTCAAGTCGCTCGCAAGAGGCCTCCCGCTATACGTCATTCCTTCTCACCTAGGCGGCGGCAATACCAGATTTCTGGGATTTATGTATGTATGTACATAGCAAACTATGTAGCCAAATAGACGGGATGAGCCGAAGTAACATACCGACATAATACTTACATGCCCAGCTAGGTCTAGGTAGATATGGATATAAATGGCGCTTTGGGGTAAGATATTAAAATTGCAACCGCAAATAGGGGGAACTGCCTCAACAGGACTAACGCGAAATTCGCAAATTGCCTGTTGAGATCATCTTACCAACCTGCTGGGTATGAGTCCGGGTACAGTTAACCTCTCCTCGAGGCTCGAGCGTGCGGGCACTTTCAATGTTGGTTTAGAGCTGTGCAAAGATGTACAAGGCGTTCCCGTGTACGCGGTAAGGCACCTTCGCCTTGCGTCTGCATGCTGCTGCCGACCCGAAAAGACAGCGAGACCTGGCAGTCGGTGTCTCGCATCCTAGGAAGAAGGAATAAGACCGTCTTGGCTTGGGGTCTTATTGCCAATCAAGGGGTGGCGCACCAACAGTGAGATGCAAGCCAGTCCAGCCTCAAAAAAGGTTCCAACGTACACCCTCCCGCAGGGTAGCACCCTCGGCACCCTGCTTGCAACCGACCCCTCAGTTTCTAGCGCTGGTAAAGTAGGCCAAGGTACTCCGGAATATTGAACCAGTCGCTCGGGGCTGATGATACGCACACTGTACCTATTCATACCTCCATCCCACAGCCCACCTCAACTTTTCACGTGTTTAAAGGAGGGGAAATCTGATGCGTAGGTAGGTGGTGTGTGGAAGCCACTGCAATTTCTTTTCTCTTTTACAAAAGATGTAATCCCGTTTATGGCTTCAGAGGATTACCAAATTTGCAGGGTCATCATAAGCAAGGATCGCTATTGGCAATCCTCGCGGCACAGCGTGAGAGTGAGGCTGGCCCAAAGTTAGTCATTGAACCTGGCCCTTCTCCCGCTCTTTTCTGTTTTACTAGATCCGGTTACGATCACGCCTGTACTGTCCGACCCGATACTCTGGTACACGCTAATGCATGGCCTCACTAAAGTAAGACACGTTTATTGCAATGATGACGATGGCGATTATGATGGTAAGGATACGTACATACCAGACTGCGAGATGTTGAGATGGATAAGGACGCCATCATCATGATTTTCCGTTATAAACAAAGCGGATCCAGCTCTTCAACAGATGTGCCGGAAAAGCCGGGTTCAACCGCGACCGACTACGAGGCCCGTTGTGAAGCACGACAGTGTGGTCCAAAGGAACGGGCGCCATCTCAGCGGCAGAAGAAATTGCGTGCCTAGATAGTACGGCCTGTATGAGGCCCACGATGGCTTTAATCGTGTGTGGGCCTGCGTCCCGACCATAATCCTCTCTATAAACCAGGGGGGTCAGTGGCTAGCGTCGAACAACAAATGATCCTATGCCACTCATCTTGACAAGGACTTTCTATTGGTAATGTGGTAGATATCAACCTTATCACCTTGGCTTCCATGGTACCGTATCGTCTATGAATGAATCGGTAAAGGTGTATACGACATCACATAAACTCGCCACGGTACTCGGCAAGGGCTCCGGGGGGGTCCCTCGACACACTAGCCAATGTAAGAAAGAGTGCCCTCTTTGGCTCCGTTGATGGAGGACTCGACGTGAATCTGGAATTGTATGGGTACCGCTGTACCGGCCATTTGGAGATCGCCGCCACCACCCCCCAATTTCTAGCGTCCTTCCTCTAAGGCCTTCTCTCCACTAGGACGGCCCGCTTGTTTTGATGTACATAGCTGTCCTGAAAACCCA